ACTTGGTGCTTCAGAATTTTCACGCGGGCAGCCGCCCCTTCGAAGTGGCAGGCAACGACGACGTGCCGCAATGCCACCAGGTGCTTCGATGTAGTAGGAGAGCACGCTTTTGTAGCTGGAGCTCTCTCTAGGTAATTACAGCCTCGTTTTTGCAAGCCGTCAGATGAACTTCTCCTTCTTGGAGGGCGAGCGGATCCGCTGCGTCTTGAACCTGTCTCAGGCCTGGCGCTTCTGTACATACACAGAGAAGCGTCAGGCACCAGTCGTGCTGCGTACAAGTCTGATAGTCTGTGTTTGCGTGTGCTTGCCTCTGTACGGTCTCTCTCTCTCTCTCTCTCTCTCTCGCTCGCTCGCTCGCTCGCTCGCTCGCTCGCTCTCTTCTGTGGTGTGTTTGTGTTTAGTGTCTGCTGGTTTGTTTGGATGTGTTCCTGTCTCTCTTTGCGCGTGGGCCTGTAGCCAACGGGTAGAAGTGCAGCATGGGGGCGGGAGCTGACTTGCGTATCCGTCCAACGAACCTATATCAAGTCATGTTGTCGGTTGAGCGAAGAGCCCTTCGAGACAGTACTAAAGTTTGATGAGGTAACAACCTTTGCTTGTGCTGAATGCCTATGTGGCTAAGCATCTTCGCCTTGGGGAATCACAATCAACAAAGAGATCAGTCAAGTCAGAGGGGGCATTACATAAGTGTGTGTGTGTGTGTGTGCCAGTTGGAGAGTTCGCTCACATGCACGTTCTCGTAGGACGGTATCAGCTACATGCAGATCTGCAAAGTTGGCGCATACGCTGACAGCGTGTTCGCACTGGGACAGCATTGGCTCGTCTTGGGTATTTGAGCCTCAGTGAACATGCGGGAAACTGCGAGACCCCAGCATACCCCAGCGCTGACAAGGATGAATTGCAGCCAGCTTGACCTTTTGACCGTGAATGCATATGTCGTCCAGCATCAGCCTGCGAAGTAGGGGAGTAGGCGACATGTAGCAAGAGCGCAGCAGTGGCCAAGCGAGTTGGCCGTCTGATGACGGTGTAGTTTGCCTTCATCCAGGGCATTCTGTGTTGTCTGTGCGCGTCGTCGGGTGAACATGCCACCAAGGTGCTACCGTTAGCTTTGACGCTCACCGACTTTTGCTACCCGACCCGCTCAACCATCGCACAGCTTTCGGTTTACATCGAGGCCCCGCGCTGCAAGAAGCTGCCTGGCTTAAGGAGGGCAGTCTCGGCTCGTGAGCATCTGTCGCATCTCCTCGTGCCCAGGATCTTTTCCTTGGAGAGCAGCCCAGCAGCAGTTGATGGATGGCGAGAGAGAGAGAGAGAGAGTCAGCGTTGCAGAGCGGGGCACCTCGTGCTTGGAGTACACTACTCTCCCAAGGCATTTCTCTCTTGCAAGAGACAGCAAGTGCCCTGGATCATGAAGTCGACTTGTGCTGGCCGCGGCTACGGAGGACTTCGTTGACTCCTCCAGCATTTGAAAAAAGCTTGAGTCTGCGCCCAGTGAGGACATGCTTCCAGCTGATCGATTTGATGTGCTTGAGCTGAAATTTTAGTACGTACTTGTGAGTACGGCTTGAAAAACGCATCTCTCCATGTTCTTGGGTCTCCTGTCGCATGCACCCGGCTCAGCTAAAACGGCGACAACCAACTGCCCCCGCATCTGGAAGCTACAGATTCAATCCAAGACGATTGTGAGCCGACTTGTCAGGTCGCAAGAAAGTCTGATTTCTTAACAAGCATGAAAGCGCTTTTTGCACACCGGCGCGTCAGTGTGAATACAGGGCTTGTACCGGGCTTGTATCAGCCGGCTTGCACAGGGTTCAATTTAGGGCTACCGGCTCATCGGATTGTCTGCAGCGCACTCTGTCCGGGGATGTCTGGGGTTCAGAGTTTAGAGATTGTCGGCTTGTCGTCTTCTCGGCTGCCGCCGTGCCGCTTCGAAGCACAATTTCATGCACATTTTACCATACTGCACCTTCGGACAAGGCGAAGTACCAAGGCGAAGAACAGAATCTGCCAGCCGGAAGTGAGGATCCACTATCGAGAAGAGCAGCATTTGGCCCCATCTCTGCAAAGGTCGCCGTTCATGAAGCGACTGCGGGGACAACGAGACTCCCATTTGGATGTTCGTGCGAGGCGTGGTCGTCTGGGCAGCCACAGTTAATGTGCCATGCAAACACGGTCCTGCGCAGGGTAATCACAGCTGTGTTGCACCTGCTGTTGGTGCTGGGTGAGCCGCACCTGCGGGCGCAAAGCCAGGATGCGAGACTTGTAGGCACTGGTTTGGCAGAAACTGCAAGAAAAGGGCAGCGCAAGCAGAGGGGACCAAGCGGGGTGAACCAAGGATCACATCCATCCTCAAGCATGTCGACCGCATCGTTTTGAGAACTCAGGACGATTCGTGACGGAGCCTGCTACTGCCTCCCGTGCGATTCTTGCCATGGCAGGACATTTCCAAAGTGGTACCCTCGATGAAGTACTTCATTGACCTGCTGGAGTACTACGTTGGTCTCGACAACACGGTTGACTTTGAGGAGGAAAAGGCATGGCTTGTCCAACTTATGGGACACTGTTGCTCCGACGACGAGCACCTGTGTGCAGACCTTCTCAAGTACAAGGAGGGTTCCATATTGATATCGTTGTCGCGCATGTTGATGGATGATAGCAAAACTGCCTGGAAAGAAGTCGTCGCGCTGCGACAAAGGCCGGATCACGATCCCAGACAGGTGCATCCAATTCTCATGATGCAGCGAGGAGCTTTATTCGCCCTCTCCTGCCTCATGCAACCACAGCACGTTGCTGACCTCGTGATGCGTGCAATCGATTGCAAGCTGGAGCGCAGAGTTATTGCCACTCTTGATAGGGAAACTGTTGAAGAATATTTTGCTGGACAGGAAGCACGAAAGACCTACACCCTTTCATTCGTTCTCGTCATGCGTTCGGGTCACTGCAGAAACTCCAAAGTACCTGACTTTCAGCCTATTGTTCTGGGTGCGAACACGAACTTGCCAAGCATTTACGTCAACTTGCTGGATTTCAGGCTTTGGATTCAAATTTGCACGGTGTCAGGAAAGTACGAGACGTTCGTCTGTCAGAAGAGCCTGGAGGAGCTGCCTCAAGGGCAGATTGTTGTGACCATCGTGGTGAACGGCTCATCGATTCAGGCATACCTCAACGAGCAGGCTCAGCTTCCTGTCTCGAGGAAACTTGGCGACGACCCCAAAATCCTGCAGGATGGACAGATCTTGAGCGGAAAAGTTCAACAACTGGTGCCCAAGCCTGGACAGCCGGTCTTTGACGGCGTTCTCACGCTTCTCAGAGCCAGCCAACACCCAGCAGCTCCGCATGAGGTAGAGAGCTCCATCAAGGCATCGCAAAAGGAGGCGAAGCAGATCCTGACTCGGCGAAAGGAGCGCTTTTCAAACGACCAGGGTGTTCCGGACTCCGTCTACAACGTCACAGAGGTTGCCTCAGCACTGCTGCAGTATATCAGGCTTCAATTCCATGATGATCCGGAAACTCGCAGGGAAAAGCGGCGCATTGGCGAGCTGGACCTCATCGACCCCACCACGACGATGTGGATGATCTCCAACAGTGGTGTGTGTTCCCAGCTGCTTCCACAATCCCATCCGCGCTATGTGGGACTCTTGAAGACCCCCCTGCAGAGAGCTATATTCCTGGCAGCTTTGGTTGCAGACAACTTCGAGAAGACAGAAGCGCATGACGTCCAGCTTGGATTTCCACCGGAATTTGGGCCTCATGACAGGTCACGGCCAAAGCCTCCAGATCACTCTGTCTTAGTGGCGGTCGCAGCTTTCCTCAGCCAGCTGCTCCAGTCCCCGCGAGGACGGATGGTCATGGCAGAGGACTCATCTGCAATGTTGGTGGTTCGACTCATTCCGATGTGTGGAGTGCGACTGGACCTCTCTGGCTATGTTCAAAAGTCTTTTCGGAACCTAACTTCCAAGATGTGTGCCCTGCTCTTACAAGCCAAGCAGGATGCCCCGACAACATCTTTGGTCTTGGATGCACTCTTCAAGAAATCAATGAGCGACGAGGGCCTTATCTACAAAGAGGACCTGCAGAACCTGTTGCTATCACAGGCGTTGACTGCGCTCAGAGACATCATGCACGCGTGCATATCGACCAGGACTAGCCGGCAATCCCAAATCCACCAATTGCAGCTTGACATCCAAATGCAAATTGAAGTAATCCGTACACAAGAACAAATGCAGGGCCACGACGAGGCAATCCTCGCATCGCATAAGCAGCAAGTGGAAAGGCTCAACACAGACCTGTCCAAATTGCAAAGCGAAGTTCAAGACCAAGAGAACTTGCTCATACACTGTCAGAAGCTTCAGCGCCAGTTCTTCCTACAGCTCCATCATATAATGGATGAAATCATCCATGGCCTTCCCTTGCGCCCGCTTGATCTCTGCTTGCTCACCCAAATGGTCAACACTGCTGTAGAAACACCCTACGTCGGCTTTTACCGTGGAAGTGATCTCCACGCACAGAAGATGCTCGAAACAGAGCTTGCAGAAGGTATGCCATGGGAAGTTTGGCTGAAGTTCGAGTTTCCTGGAGCGTCTCATCTTCAGGCCAGTGTGTCCAAGCAGTTCCCGTTCAGATCGAGGATGCGTGGTCCCAGCAGCAAAGTCCTTCTGAACGTTATGGAAGAAGCTAACCTCCGGGATGAAAGGAGCATCTTGTCGCCCAAGTTGCGCAACGGCTCTTCGTCTGGCGGGGATCATGTTTATGTCCACGTTGTGGGCTCCGAGGAGAAGCTGCAGGCAGATGTTGAAGTCCGAGTTCTTCCAGAGTTCGATCCGCCGCTACGCCTGCCTCAAGAACATGTATCCTTTGAAGGGCGCATCATCGAGTTCGCAAGCGCTGTGCTGAAGAAGGACGACTTACCCGCAGACGCCTACGCGAACGTCTGTCTTCTCTTGGCTTCGCAGCGGAACGATATGAGAGCAAATTCTTGCATTCCTCACCTGGCTTCAATTCTGATGACCTGTTGTAGGGAACTTTGGGTCGGCCGGCTCGTTTGCGCCGAGCTGTTGCAAGGCGTGCTGTATCCGGAGAAACACCTCTCGCCGATACTGTACTTGGCCGGGACCGCAGCGAGCACGCCTCTGGACACACGGCTCTATGTGCTACAGGTCTGCAGCCAGGTGATTCATCCAGCGATGACACCAGAGGAAGGCTTCCTACAGTTTCTGGACAACGTGTATCGTCATCGTATTGAGCTGCCACGTCCGGCGGATGATGAGTTGCCACGTCCATCTTTTGGCGAAGAACACAAGAAAGCCTGTTCGGTGACCTGCTTGATGTCTGCATTGCACAAGCAGCTCCCCCGAGTCTTCCAAGTTGCTTTGTTCAACTTGGCGGAGGCGATCCTTGCGCGAGATGCGGGGGAGTGCTCAGATCTGATCAATGAGAACCAGTGGGCTGATGGAGCGGTAGTGTTCCAGGAGCTCAATCCTGGAAAGTTTGCCTTCTGGCGAGAGCTTCACTGGTTTCTCATGTTCGGCCATCCTGAGGTGCAGGATGCAGCTGTAAGGGTCCTTCTCATATTGTTTTGGCAACAGAGTGTGCAGCTGGTCACGCTGATCTGTCGGACGGATGACTCGGGAGATAGCCAGCTTTCAGGAAATTACTGGCTGCTTGTTCCACTATTGAGACTCCTGGGTCATAACAACGATGAAGTCGTAGCCGATTTGCTGAAACTCTTTGCTCCTCTGGCCCGCAGCTACAGTTCTGGCGACGAAGACGAGGACTTCCATGACCTGGATGAGGCAAACGAGGACAGACTCATCCGACTTGCCAGGTCGGTTGTTTCCGAAGCGAGTCGTTCGGAGATCCTCAAGGAGGCCATGGTCCAAGTGAGCCCAAGATTCATCGTCAGAGCCATGGATTGGCCCTGCGACGTTCGAGATTTCGTGCTCGACGTTGTGCTAACGCGCTCAGTCATGCAGGAGCTGACCGTGTCCCCGGAGCTTGCGGGCGAATTCTGGGATGTCATGATTCATCTCCTTAGGGAATGCGGGCTAGCCGGGCAGTCTTGGGTATCGACGACGCTCAAGGAGTTGGCACGCATTTCTGAGCGAGTGGTCTCGCAGTCCAGTGGTGAAGATCTGCGAATGGTGCGGAGCGTCTGCTCGCCCAAGGCTCCCTTAGCCTTGCAGTAGAATGACGTAGGATGCTAGAGCCTAGAGCCTCTAGCCAGGCTGATTGCTGCCCACTGCTCTCCCTGAAGGTCATTGCCCCATTGGTCTCGCACATCGCCGCAGGCACTGTGCTGTCAGACTCTGATGTTGCCAAAGAGATGTCCCACGCCCTGGCCGAAGTGCCTGACTCGTGCTCTGGCTGCTGAAAGACTTGCACACTTCCTTTTGCTTTAGTGCGCAGAGCACCCACGGTGTCATCATGTGTCATCACGATGTAAGCCCCACGAAGCGGGGAATTACGCGAATAGATCGTTTTTGGGCTACGCAGAGTCCTGCAGCCGATGACAGTCCTGGGAAAAGCGTAAGAGCTTGTGTGGAAGCTCGGCGTTTGATTTGGCGGTCTGTTGCGCATGATGTGCCCGCTTGAGGCTGCTGTCCTTGCTGATCCTGCTTCCGGAGAAAGAGCACCGAGCTCAGTTGCACGCACGGGGCGGCGAGCTGTGACTGGGTGTCGCAGCTTGTTAGACTGTCCAGCAGCTGTGCATGGCATGGGGTGCATTTGCACTGCCGCACCTGGAGTGATCGGTCATGAGTCCGTTGCCATCTTGTGTCTAGTGTTGCTTTGTGCACATCTAGACTATTGCGATTGGGTAGTGATTGGGTCTTGTGTCCTGCTGGTTCCGAAGGCTGGTGTCAGACCTGGAGAAACACACGGGAGTGTGAATGCTGGGATACAGCTTGATATCAATCATGACATTGGTTGCATTCATGAACTTGGTTACGAAGTTGCTGTGCTTTTGCAAGTCGACGTTCTGCTGCATCATCACTCACCTTTACTTACCACATCAAGACTGCTGCGCCCAGATCTGTCGCTGGTGCTGCACAAGATTGGCTCACTTGGTGGTGTTTTCATTCATCGTGGAAGAGACATTTCCTATCAAGATTCGAGAGAATCTCAGCCTCACTCGTGGAGTTGATGTGGATTCTCAATTGGCTTGACATCCCAGGCAGATAAAGCTGCTGTCCGGGACGCTGAAGGCCGAATGGATTCGAAACATGCTTTGCTCTGCTGTCCTGCCATGCCTCTCGATTCGAGCATCTGCAGCCTAGGATTTACTCCACATCGGGGTGGAAGAGGTTGACGAACGATTCAGGCTGCTCATCTGACAACGAGGAAAGCGTTATGGCCTGTTCAGTGCCAACCACTGAGGCCAGGTCACAACAAACGCACCAACGATGCCTCTCGGTACGTTAATCCGGAGGCTCCTTTACAGTCGACCCTTCTTCTATGCAAGTACGCGTAGCACCTTTTATTGTATTGCCGTGCATGCTGACAAGATCTAAGGAGCAACACACTTATTCAATAGGCCTTACTGTTGATGGGTTCTTGATCGTGCGTATGTATGTATGAGCAGCACTGAAACCAAGTCGATCACATCGTTGTCGTCGAGCAGATGGAGCTACGGATCAACCGGAAAAGATGCAAATTCCAGCAAATCGTACCAACGACCCAGAAGTTTCGACAGCAATAGAAAATCAACTTCTGCCGAAGGACGCTGGAACATCCAGTTCCCGCATAGCCTGCCGTAAAACAGGACCGTGCACATCGGAATTCGAGATCCCGTAGGTTGCCCACGTGGAATTGGTTAATAAGTTGCCGTAAAGCAGAGCCCTGAACCTCTAAATTTTCAAGTAGCTTGCCACAAAACGAAACCTTTCCGGTTTGTTTGCCAGAGTCCGTCATAAGTCATAAGGTTTCTCTTGCTCCCATACTTGTATTTGTTTTGATCCTGCTGGCTTGAACTTTTGATGTTTAATCTCGTTGTCAGATCCGTTCCACGATGGCTTAGTTCCTCTAATCTTATCATCTAACCTCATCTGACCAGGCTAGTCAGATCGAACTACAGAACATTTACGCTCAAGCTCTCTCTCTCTCTCTCTGTCTCTCTCTGCTCTTCATGCTTCTGTGCATACATGCAAACACAGTCACATGTACTCGGGGTATGCGTATACACACATGTATTATACCCATATGTCTGTTTTCACAATCATACGATCACATGGTGGCATACCGGCGCCAGTGTCAAGTTTTGTTGAACGTTTAGGCAAGGTCTAGTTACAGAAACTGTTGGCAGATTTGGATCAAAGGCTATCAAGACGTGGGTTGGGCGTTGCATCCTGATCTTCTTCTCGGCAGCGCTTCTGACCGACATGGAAAGGCAGTACCCGAAGGACCGGCAAGGCAACACCGCCAGGGGCATGGGGATTCGTGCAGGTCCTGGGCTCATGCCTGTGTATTGTAGCAATCAGCAGGACTGTCCTGTCGAGCAGATGTCAGATGGATCTAGTGCCCCGGGCCCTCTTCCAATACTTGTTCCCGGTGCGCAGCAGCTCGACTGGACAGACAGGCTTGTTTGCCTTCAGGCCATGTGTCAGGCGGGCAGCACAGTGTAGTGTTGCTACTCCGAGGCAAGTCAAGCTGACATGCGTCAGAAAGAAGGCCATGACCGTCGACATCTTGATCAGCAAGGACATTGATCCAGTTTGATGATGTGTCCAACGCTTCCGCTGTGCAAAGCAGGAAAGTGCCGAGGCATCCGTTGACCCCACGAATCAGGCGCCCACAATCGACACTGTCCACCAAACGGTGTCTGGATGCCATGACAGGCGAACTTTGTCATCCCGACCAAAAACCTGCCATACAGTGCCGGCCTTGTGAAGCATGGTTGATGTTAATCGCTTAGGATATCCAGGCATGTGGCTTCAAAACCCAAACCCAAGGTGTGCAGATTCCCTTCGAGACGGAATTCGCTGTTATCAGCCCTGGCCGTGCATGGCGACTCGACTCAAGCTTTCGGTTTTAGCACTGGGCATTCCGGTACACTTGCACCTCCAGGTGTTGTTTTGACAAGTCCTTGAGCCGCGGCGAGAACAGAGAGGAGTTCAAGATTCGCACTTTGTCTGCTGTTGGGCAGACCTTGGTTTTGTAGAGCCGTTTGATAGGCTATGAGTCGGCAGCACGAAGCTGCTCAGGCATTGAGCCACAGTTCATGTTCGCGTCCATCAAGCGCCAAGCAGTGGAAGACTTCTTCTCGGGTGGACACTTCAGGACACACAGTTTCTGTGCATGATCATGCCAGCTGAGTTCTGTGCAGGCCTTGATGCTGCTTGTTCGCCACTCGAGACTGGAATCGAGACTCACTGTGTCTGTTCCGTTAATGTCGTGCCGATGTGAAGTGACGGCGAAGACTCAGTTCGGACCACGTTCCTAAATTTCTTCTTCACGGTTCTAGTTGTTGCAAACCCGTGAGCACTAGTCCATACTAGCCCTAGTTGTAGCAGAAAACATAGATTCCGATCACCCTGGATGCATTGCTGACAAGTCTACACACTCAGTACTGTAATGCTTGTGTCGGATTGACAACGCAGCGAAACATGCCGAACAGCGGGTTCTCACTGAGATGTCAAGGGGGCCGGTCGGTGAGCTTCCAACCAAGTTCCAGAAGTTTTGCGTATGCACTAGAGACAAGTGATAGGACAGTTTGATCACATCAAGGACCCAGTGCATGAGCTTCATCTGCCATCATGGGACACGACGGGCGAGCCGCCCACCAAAGCCTAAGGGCCATCATGCTTTGCTTGTGCGAGAGCGATACCCTGCAATCCAGACCTGTCAAAGTTGATGACATTCGATTGATGCTGTCGGCTTGGCGGTGCAGCACTGGTAAGAGTGCGAGTCTGCTCGTGCATGGGTGCATCCCAGCAGCCTCAACTCGGCCGTCAGAAGTTTCGCCGGCAAATGCTCGAGCGCTAGTTGCGCAAGCTTCCTATGATTGAAATCGACATCCATGACAGTCTGACAGCAGGTTCGAGTAGAAGTGTGAGAACGGTATTTTGCGTGTGGAGACTCAGCACACTGTCGATGCAGGAAGCTCATCGACACGTTGCTGCCTTCTCCACCGGACGATCCTCACAGCATACGCGGTGTTCCGCTGGGGGTGGTGCAGGTGCCAGCAGTTTTGTCACAAACTGCTCCGTGTTGCCGGCGATTGGACAGCAGGCCGTAAATTGGTCCTTCGGCGTGCCTCGGATTCTCTACAGTATGTTTAAGGCTGCAGTGAGAGCCTTCCAAAGCCCTAGAAAAACGAGGTCCTTGCATTTGAGCTGGAATCTTCGCTCAAGGGCCTTCGCCCTCAGCCGATCCAGGCCGGCTGGGCCAGATGCAGCTGCCTTCGCGCTTCGTGTGAAAATTCTGAGTGCCTACAAGATTTCCCACCATGGCAGCTCGCAGCCGATGATGGCGTCGCTGTAGGCACTGAATCCACAGCATTGCCCAGTCATCCACATGCTGCGAGTCGTCAGGACTGACAGTCCGCAAGATTAATCGCATGGCTCTGTAGCTGTGTGTCTTGACAGGACTGTGGTGTACAAAGTCGTCGCTTCACGTCCACATGAGGAGCGAATTTGCTGATCATGGCCTGGGATTGGGATCGCATGACTCACTGTGACGTACTATGCAAGCTCGTGTATGTCGAAGGACGACTACGAGTCGCTGCAGTTGCAGATGGCGGCAGCTGACACATCCTGAGCAAGAAGCAATCACAAGGGTACTGTAGAACCGCAAGGCAAGGTAATTCTGCTTGCTTGATCATGTCGGGAGGGATGCCCTAGGTATGTTGCTTGCGTTGGCTTGGCTAAGGAGAACACCATCTACACTTTCGCTCGTGTCAAGGAGTTCAAGGCCTCTGCCTGAGGACTCGATCTTGCCATGTCCTTCGTCCTTCTCAATCCTGGGTCAGGATGCAATTCTCGGTGGCAGGAACGAGTGGAAGAACTTGCCACTCCTGCTTGACATGATGAGAAGCCGGCTAGAACCGCACTGGGTGTCAACAATGTCCAAAGTGCTGGCCGCAATCATCAACAGGACTGCCTTTACATGTGTTGACATCTTGAGAACGCAAAGCCATCATGATTGGAGACGCTCAAGAGTTCAATGCCGCAATGGACTTCCCAGAGTTTGAGTTCAACGACCCGCATGTCCGCCAGATAAATGCGATAATTGTACCTGGAATGGTTGGCATACCGCTTGTACTACTACTACTACGAGCGCAGCATAGAGCATGCGCGGCCGCGACCGGGCAGCCTACCCAACAATTCCTGGTACAGCTTGTGTTGACACATTTTATGATTTTATGAATTACACGCGCAAACAGAAGCGCAAGAGGTCCAAACATGGCGGAACTTCTGCGGAAAACACACGAAACCGGCAAACTACGAACGGCGCTGTCGCGAGAGCACAATTGACGCGGGAGATAGCGAGACGACACCGAAACCAGCCTCGAGCTATTCAGGCCAAATGCGAGCGGTGCTGTGGCACTCTGGCTTGAGCAGGACTTGCGTGTCCGATCCAGCTTTGGGGCCTCTTCTGACAGGAAGCCCGAGAGCGTCAAGTCCCCCTTCGAGTCGCTGATCATGTACCTGGAGCTGGCTATGAAAAGGCCGTAAGTCCGAATCTGTCATGGACCTCTGCAGAGTTTTGAGGCCCCTCGGGTTGCAAACAGGAGATCTCCTGATTCGCTGGACTATCGCGTCCTCACGCCACTGGTCAGTGTTTACGCAGACTTCCTGGAGGCTAAGAGTTCGTCTCAGTCTCAACTCCCTTGCAAAAGAGATACCAGCTGCTGCAGGCCGGGTGGAGCCCGACTTACGAGGAAATGGAGGTTCGGCCCAAGTACGGAGCCACCAGACTGAGAGATCCGCAAAATGCAGGACCGAGGCAGCAGCGGGTTGTCCAACTCACATTGCTCTTTGAAATGCTGCGTGAGCTATCGTGACCACAAAGGAGCCAAGAATTCTGACCTCTGCCTTTTCGCGCTGCTGTTGGTCAACTCCTCGGACCCCTTGATGCGTGCAGCATGCCAGGGACTTGGATTTTGAAACTTCCATGATTCAAGTCCACTGCTGCATTCCGGCATTCAAGTTCTGAAAAGGCATCAGGGCCATCCGCGTGATAGGCGCAACCTTGGCACTGATGCCGCGGACCGAATGTGCGCGTGAAAAACTCGTACTGCCAGCAGGTGGTCGAACTGCTCGAAAACAACCGGTGCTTCACTCAGAGTGAGCATTCGGATGAGTACTTGTTTGCAACACTGGTGCTCGTCCCGCATGCCTTGGCTGAGATCCTCCACATCACTCGTTTCGAAGCACAGCTGCACTGGTGCACTTGCATCCTGTGCCGATGCAGGCTAATTTCGGCAACGAGACAGAAGTTCAGTGTAACTGAGGTCAACATCTGCATGCTGCCACCAGATCCGAAGACGCAAAAGCCATATCAAGGTCTTCCACCACAGGGCCTATCCATAGCTCTACCAAGGACGATGCTCTTGCATTGACTAGTCAACATGGTGTCCGCTCAAAAGTCCAACTCCTTGAGAGGAAGTCCTTTCATCTGGCTCCATTTGCATATTCAATGTGGCTGTACCTGCAAGATGAAGTGGCAGGGTGCTCAGACCTGATACAGGAATCACGTGCCGTCAAGAGTAGCCGTCGCTAGCCTCGAACCTGAAGGCCCGAAGTGAATCAGGCAGCAGGACAGCGTGAGCATCCTTCAAAGTGTGTAGCAGTTTGTTTCTGGCACAGAACGCAGAATTTCAGGCACGTGACACATGTGGACAGGATTTTCCACATAATGAGCCACGCCACGCCCGCCAGCACAGTGCCGCAAATTCAGCTCTTTCTCGCTCCAGGACAGGCTGAGATGCGTCAGGGTGCAGCATAATGCAGCATGCGATGTAGCGTTTCCATCACCGTCAGGTGAGCACGCATAAGCCACGCTGATTCGCACATTCCATTCCTTTGCGAAAATTTCGCAGACAGATCGACGATGTCAAAATGTGCAGGTCCCGGCAAGGACTACAACAATTGCCGATTCGAGGTCCGTCTCGGCCCTGTGGCGGCAACAGAGACGCATTTCTCCGTGTTGACGTTGAGCCGCTGCGAGAGTCGAGTCTTCCTGAGGAAACAGTCACTTCGTGCCTGACGAGGGCACGGGAGGCCTCAAGAGGCATGCCTGGGCAGCCCGGCGGGATTCGCTGGGACTTACATGAGGAAGGGTGCAGATCGGCGAAAGTAGAAGTGACTGGCCCAATCCGTCGGAAATGCCGGCGAGCAAGAAGTTGGCTCGCTCAAGCATGCACCTTTCCCAAGGCTATATTCGGACCATGGATCATGTTGTTCAAAGGCAGACCGCGAGGGTTTTCGAACACAACGTGACGGTGCGTATGTTCAAGGCCACTGAAGGTGTGAGGTTGGAGAGGGATGGAGCACAGCCTTGTTGCGTACAGGGCGTTCGGGGTGGTGTGCATGCATCTTGGCACGAAGGCAAAGCAGTTTAGCAAGTGTCAGAACGGCAAATTCGACGATGCAGTCAATGCCTCGTAGTTCGCTGAGGTGCACGTTTGTTTAGTGCTGGGTCGGCGCAACATCATCCTTTACATCAACGCAGAGGTGGTGATGCAGAAGGACGGTCGTCGGAATCGGTCGGTGTAGTCAAGTGTAGAAGAAAGCAGCTGAACCGAAGCCTTCAAATTGGTGCAGCGCGCAGAGTCCCAGAGCTGATGGCTCAGGAGACCTCAGGAATGCAGCAATTCTCCAACCTTCGCGGTCCGCAGCGGGGCACGTGCTATGTTGGGATACCGCCTCCTGATCTCGCCGCTGGCCTCAAGACCCCGATCGAACGTGCTTGGTCTACAGCAAGTGCACTCCAAGACTGCAGTCTCTGCATTGCTTGTAAAGGTCCCCTACCACGCGATGAACTGGTTCTTTCCTGGGTATATTTTTGAGCTGTCCGGGACTTGTTTCTGTGTGTGGGAACACAGATGCAGCATCAGATTTCTGCGCCCAGGGCCTATCACGATGAAGGGCTCAGCGCTTCCCAAGTTGAAGTCCTTCACGCCGGAGGTCGGAGCATACCAACGTTCCGTGCATTCTGGCGATACTGGAAGTTGGTGTTGCAATGGCTGAGAAGGACGTCGCTCGCTTCCTCTGCATCTATCCAGCTTCGAATCTGCTGAAGACACGGAGTGCCGTAGCTGAGTGCAGAAAGTTCGGGGAAGCGCTTCTAGCGGGGCGTCTGAAAAACCTCGCTGCGGTAAGGTCCTGCTGCATCTATCCTTACATCAAATGGAAGCCCACCCCGTTGCATTGGTTGGCAGCGCACCCAGCTTGACCTGGCTCGTAAGTCATTTTGGTGTCCCGTGTCCCTCTGGGGCCGAGGTCACCAGCGACATCTGGGAGAAACTTGAAGGGCCAATCCTGACCTTGCTGGCCTCGAAGGCACAGTGTCCGTGCCTTCGCCTTCGCAGCCTATTTGCATTGCTTGCCTCCTAGGACCATCTGATGAATGAGACAGAAGTCGCTCGGCTTGATGTGATCATGTAGCAAGTTAGAGTATGCACGATGCGTGTCAAATCCATGAGGTTGATGAGTTTCAGCTGGAAGCAGTGCGTGCCCTGCGCAGTGCAGCAAGCCACTTGCTGGCGGCCTGCTTCGACCTGGATGAACCTTTCGCGCAAATATGCTTGGACTGCGTCGTCATGCTGCGTTCATAAGAAACCCCGAGGTACGTACGTACATACATACCCCCCCTGCATTTTTTTTTTTTTTTTTTTTTTTTTTTTTGGGGGGGGGGGGGGGGGGGGGAGGTACGTACGTATGTACGTACGTACCTATAACTACCTACCGTACTTATAACTACCTACCTACCTAACTAACTAATAACTAACTAACTAACTACCTACCGTACTTATAACTACCTACCTACCTAACTAACTAATAACTAACTAACTAACTAACTAACTAACTAACTAACTAACTAACTAACTAACTAACTAACTAACTCTATTGCTATACATACTAACGTACATACGTACCCAAGGAACTCCAAGGTACGTACGTACAGACTAACTAACTCTCTTGCTGTACATACTAACGTACGTACATACCTCCCCCCCCTTGGGAAGCGTACGTACATACATACTCACCCGCCCTCCCGGCGCATTTTTTTTGCCCGGAGGTACGTACATACATACTCCCACCCCCCCGGAAAAAAATTGGCCAGAGGTGCGTGCGTGTCTACGTCTGCACCTGCCTCCCTTTATCTACCCCACCCCTGGCAACGTACGTACCTGCATACTCCCTCCGTCCCCCTGTCTTGCAACGTACCCACATACTAACGTACTTACCTCCCCCCCCGGGGAAGGTACGTATGCACGCACGTACCCGCTCCCTACCTATAGCTACCTACCTCACTACCTAACTGACTTGCTAACCACTACGTACCCCCCCCTTTGCGAGGAAAGTACGTGCAGCTCCCACCTCTCCCCGCAGTGTACGTATATACAGACTATCTTGCCTGCTGCCGCCAAAATTCTTGGCCGGAGGATCCGGAGGTACGTACGTATGTACCTACCACCTGACCGACCCCCCCATAACGTACGTACATACATACCCCCCCCGCCTATCTTGCAACGTACGAACATACTAAGGTACATACCTACCCCCCCCCTTTCGGGTACGTATGTACCTACCGCCTGACCGACACCCCAGGCAGCAGACATGTTCCGGCAAAATTCTTGGCCGGAGGTGCGTACGTACGTAACTACCACCTGACGGACCCGCCCACTCCCCCCTATCTTGCAACATCTTGCAACGTAATAACATACTATAGCATAGCTACCCCTCCCCGGGGGGCGGTACGTATGTACGTACAGGTACGTACATACATACTCCCACCCCCCCCGGAAAAAATTTTGGCCAGAGGAAGTATGTACGTACCTACCTACCCACCTACTTACCTACCTACCTACCGTACTGCCAACGTACTAAAGTGCTCAGGTCCGATCGTACATACGTACTAACGTACTAACGTACTAACGTATTAACGTACTAACGTACATGTACTAACGTGATAACGGGCTAACGTACTAACGTACGTACATACATACCTCCGCCCCCTTGCCAAAAATTTTTCCTGCCTACCTACCTACCTATCTATCTACCTACCTACCACGGTACTACCAACGTTCTAAAGTACTAAGGTACCTACCCCCCCTACGTACTCAGGTGCTCCTGTCGGTGTGACGACGCACTAACGTACTAACGTACTGACGTACTAACGTACTAACGTACTAACGTACTAACGTACTAACGTACCCGAGGTACGTACGTACGTACGTACGTTACCCCCCCCTGGGGTTCTTACTGGCTGCGTTGCATTTGTCTACCCACACCTGGGTCTAGACTCTAGACTCCAATGCGCAGCGCGCTTTTCAGGAAGTTTGCAGCCGACGGCTTCGACAGTGGGCAGTGAACTTTGCACAGGTGAAGCCCGAGGCTCAGAGATGCCTATAGAGAACTACCAGCAGGATCTTCTGAAGAATGAGAGCACCCACTTATCCCCAACCGGCTTTCAAGAAAGCGGCCGCCGAGCCTTCGCCTCGTGCACTAAGGCTGCAGGTGCCGCCGGTCATCAAACTGCACTTGAGCCGTGCCTGCTCTAGTTCTTCCTTGTGTTTTCGGCTGCGTTGCCTAATGTCTGGAATCTGAAGCGGGTTAAGAGTGACGCGAACCTAGGAACGACGAATCCTTTTCCTTCGAGTTTAAGCTGCGATTTCGACAGCGCCTCGTATGGCAAATTCCGGACACCTTCAAGCGCGGCCATCGCAAGTTCATCAGTGTGTGCTGGACTGGGATCCTAGGTACAGCAACTTGGAGGAGGGAGCCAAAGTCCAGACCATTATGGCAAACGTCAATGAGAAGCTTCTCGGAATGTCGATTACGGATGAGGGCAGGTAACTGCAGCCTTTCAATAAATTCCTGTCTGCGCGGCACATACTGCCTCTGAGTCGCAGCACAGCATGCAAGTCGTTTGCAGGCGAGCCATGGCATCAAGTCAAGCCGATGCTAGAGATCAGTTCAGAATATGCATCGAGAGCTTGCCGAGCACCACGAACGATCCAGAGAAGGAGCCTTCTCTGCCGGTATCAGAACTGCTTCACATCAGGCATGACAGAAACGATTAGAAACGAGTCTAGCCCAGGAAGGCATGTATACTGGCCTCTCGGCTTCAAAAGTTGGGTAAGGGAGGGGCACTTCGGACTTCGAGCGTGCTCAGATCTGCGAATAGAAGATAGGGCAAAGCTGAGCGTGTCCGCGCTTGTGCAGCAGTCTCTGCCGGCTGCACGGCCGGATTGCCATTGCAGGCTCTGACTCGAAGAACTGCTGGTTCCTCACCTTTGTGTACTTTCAAAACGTTACACAACTGAAGCTCCCTGGCTGGCTTTGGAGAGAAGAGTAAGCAACACGAGACCGGACCGCTTCAGCGCATCTCTATGCTGTGTGCTTGTCTTTTGTTCAGGTTGCCGCCACAGACTGGCCCTGACGGTTGGCTTCACTGCACCATTGGTTACGCCGCTGAGACGAAAGGGGCAGAGAGGGACGCTTGTGTGCAGAGAAAGAAACTCCGCTCAGTCGATCTCCGTCTCCCTTCCTTCAGTCTCGCAGGTGGATGGGAAAACGGAGCTCGCTGCTGCCTGGGACGGCGAGGAGCCACGGATCACCATCGAGAGCTACACCAAGGACTGACGAGCACACAACCGAAACAGGGCGAGGAAGGAGGACAAAGAGACACAGAGATTGCCGGCAAGAGGAAGAGAGGGAGAGAGAGAGAGCGAGAGAGAGCGCCGGTCTGCACCCTGGAGCTGTGGGTGGGAGAGACTTTTTTCATTCGTTTTCTCTCTCCGAGGACATGTTTCGGACAGAGGCGTATCTGGGATGCGAGGTGCAGATCACAGGAAGAAGCTCGGACAGCAGAGCACCTCAAAAAAGTCTTGGTGACAGTCGCGGAACTCTTAGTGTACATCTTCTGACGGTGATCAGGTGTGCAGAAGATTTGCAACCAGCTTCTTTGCGACCTTGCCTACGTTCGGGTTTGGGACAACTACGAACCTGGGCAAAAGACTTGACATTGGATCTGATCTGAGAAAGACCTCGATCAGAAACTCAGGAGCCTGCAGACAAGCTCAACAAGGAGTTTGCTGACGCTGGGGCACCCAATGCGATGCTAGTGGCCGGTAACCAAGCGGTCTTTGTCTGCCTGATGCCCATCATTCACGAGGACAGGGATTTGTGGCTTGCAAGAGATGCTGCAGGTTGGTCATAGGAACTCGATGACGAACGTGATGTTTGAAAGCTGCGCTCAACACACTGTGTGTTTTTTGTGCGCCGTTCGTGCTGCATGCGAGGACCGCGGGTATATATTGGATGCTGTGCCCATGTCGGCGGATGTTGGACCAACAGTGACAACAACTGCGGCCGCCCAAAAATCAGGAATCGCAGCAGCCACCGCTCATAGCGAATGCGTTTGTCACATCAGCAATTCCTGCCAGGACCGAACACAAAGGTCTTTCCATCCGTTCGATCTCGCGGCTCGGAACGGCATACATGCTAATTCTGCATCCCAACATTGTTATGTTGTGCTGCTGTGCTTCGTCGCGATTCGTTTTCAGAGTGCTTTCAGCCGACCAAGCCAAGGATACAATGTGTCCATGCAATGGCCAGGATGTCTCTTCTGCTCGCTGGACTACGTGCCGCCCCTTGGAAGCATGAATACTTTTCAGAATCTGCTTGGAGGGCACAGGCGCTGCGCCAATTCGCTTCTGTGATGAAGACCAAGGATCTTTACGGCACCTCGTGCGATATCCGATGGGCTTGTGCTGCAGGATGGGCTGTTGCTCCTCGTCTGCGATATCGCTAATGCAAGATCTCTTATGACTCATGTACCTTTTGATTCATGACTCATCTTTGTTTCGCTGGGGGCTCTAGCACCTGCATTAGCGTAGTCCCGCCAATGCCAACTGCGAATCACATGTTGGAACCAGTTGTGTGCAGGTCTGCAACGTGTGTCAGTGTAGCATTCATTCATGCAGAAGGGGGGCTTTTCTGACTAGTCTCGGGTGATCTCGCGTGCCTACAGGTGTAGGGAACAGTGGCAATCGAGAGTTCATCACAACAAAACAATGTCGATGCGGTCAACATTGCACATGGCTCGCTCGTGGCAAGTCGGGAAAGTTCGCCAGTACCTTTCTGAATGTCGTGTGGGACTGGTGGAGGCATGCCTCCAGTTGCGCTCGGGGACTGGTTGTGTGCTTAAGCAGGTTGTTTGTGCCAAGATCTGCCATCACAGCTTCGGGGTTTCGGGTTTCCCGCACACCATTAATGTGTTGAGGGGCAATCTTCGCCGAAGGTCTAGGGATGTTTCGGGTCTAAGCCCTGGTCTGTGACCACTGCGCTTGAGGCCCATTGCTTCTTTTGGTGTTTCGGGGCTGTAAATTAGGCTCCAACGAGGTCTCCCGCACTCGTCCCTCGAGGTTCATGTCACGACAGGGTTGCCGGCAGTGCGAGTTGCAGATCTCCAAAACTGGGGCGTCCTCACGTTAAGTTTGGGGTTTTAAGGGGTGTTGAGTTTAAGCCTTTAGAGCCGAAGCCAAGGACTTAAACCTGGAATCTTTGGTCCGTAAGCAGATCTACACTTCTGCGGAAGGGCAAAAACCTTAAAGCCGCAAAGCAGATGGAAGCCTCAGACACCCTTCGTTCCTGCACTGCCACAAACCGCACTGTCGATCTTGAAGGAGTGCTTAACGGATCATGGGACTTAGTAACTGGGGCTACAAATAAGGTAACTATACTCACAATCACTATGACCCCAATTAAGGTACTTACAACCATAATTACTAAGTCCCATGATCCTCCAAGTGTGAGCCCCAGACAACCCGGAGCTCGACAATCCGAAGCCGAAAAATCTGCGAAATCGGAGTCCGTCCATAAGCTTATCTTTGGTTAGTAGGGCATGGAGGAATGGGGTACAATTATACTACTATTACTACCATTCGGAGGAACACAACGGCGGCACGGTAACAGCACGAGTAAATTTCGATAGAACAACCTCCCTAATTACAAAAAAACCACGTGAGACGACTCAGTTGGTCAATTGGGGATCCTGGTGATTCGATTCGGGCCAAGCATGGGGCTGCTCTAAAACCCAATCACAGCACCATCTTCTTCGCAGGGGTGAGCACGCGCCAGAGTCTTTTTCAACATCGCAAGAAGTTCGGCTCCAAGAAGTATTCAGTTTCTAAGCCGAGCCTTCGAGGCCTCACAGCTGTGCAGTTCTGCGGGCAAACGCTTCTGCCGGGATGGCGTTGCCGGTTGGAACGGGCAGTTGGCCGTGCACGCAGCTACTTCGTTTGCATTGGGCAAGGCCAAGGCGTTTGCATCTGCGTCTTGCTGATGTCTGAGGCCATGCCTATCAGTCACTTGGCTGCTGGGAGTTGCCACAAAGCTTGCAGGGGTTGTCGTGCACCTGCGTCAAGTGCATCGGACTGGGACGCCACCCGTGCCAAGGAGCGCGGCGCTTACCAGTTTCAGTGGCTGATCCATCATCCTTCTTCCATCAATGGCTCGATCAAGAAAGAGCAGTGTGCCGTAGGCCCGCTGGACGCCCCAGTTCCAGAATCCTGTCGGCGTTTGCTGATGGATCCGAGAGGCTTGCTATTGCAGAACGACTTCTCAGAGCTGTACCGTGCGAGCAGCCTTGCTACATATGTCAAAGCGTGCGAATGCCGTACAAGCTTGCGAACGAAGTTTGAAGGAGGGCTGCTTTCCGTTGATGCCCATAGTGTGGGAGTCTACCACCAGTGTCAAAGTGGGTTCTACACAGTCCCTGCACCGAGCTGTTTGTTTGCCCGAGTCGTGGACACGACCTTCTTGGTGAACCTGATCTAAGACCGTATACTGTAGTGACATGTGCTGCTGATTCCGGGATGTCGAGGATCTTTCACAGTACATGTCAGGGCACACCATGAGCCTGTTGGGGTCTCCTTGGCGTGGTCTCGAAATCCAGTCGTTGATTCCAAAGCCTGCTGTGCGTACTTTGGAGTGCACACACTCTCCCCGCCCTGGTCCCCTGCGTTTCGTCCCTCCACCCGTCCCGCGACACTCGGCAAACCCCAACTCCTAATAGAAGCGTATGTTGGTTTTCAAACTCAAGCCTTGAACACTCTTGCAGGGCGATGTTAGCAGACTCCAGAAGATGATGGCCCAAAAGCCCACGTTCGGAAGATGTGGAACATGATGATGGGAAGTTGGGATTGAAGGCGCTTAGTTACTTAGTTGTTCATGGCTTCTGAGTGTCGTCCTGGATGCGATGCAGTGCAGTTATGCAGATTGCGGGCGAAGTGATCAGCCATGGAAGGCAAAACTTATGTCCAAAACTGCCACGCTGACAACCTTGAGAGGGAAGATGATTTCGGGCACCATACGGGTTCGCTACTGCAACATCATGCCTGAAACAAGTTCTTGCAGGTTGCAGTGTCAGGTGAAACCCGAGGCAGCTTTAGTTCCTGACTTCCGAGGCTGTGCGACCCTGGATGTCACACTCGACACGAAGATGGCACAGCAAACACCTGACAAGCGAATCTCGGAAGTTGCAAGGTTAGGAACTTGATGCCTTTGGATTGGATGTCCACCTGTTCGCGTCTTCGACGCTCTACAGTGAGTCGAGGACTGAACGACTTGGACGAGGCCGTCCAAGCTGTGTGCGTGCCTGCACGATGTTGTCGCAATGCAGAATTCTGTTTCCATGTTGTATGACAACATCGTTCAGTGTGAAGCGACACAGATATATGTCTTCCAGGAACATTTAGGAGTATGGGTTCGTAAGCTACAGAACAGAGGCTTTTAGAGAGCTTCCTGTGACAGGCCAAGGAGGCGATTAAGATCAGCTTGACTCGGCGAGGTGGGCACGAGGACGGCAAGAGCTCGCGAGTAGAATTTGCTTGCTGCAGGCTGCATCCTAAGAATGCAGCTGCTTTTTGCGGACTCTGCTCTGTGGATCTCTGTGCCACTTGGCAGCAGAAGCCACGTGCAGGGGAGGCTTGCGTGCACCTTGGTACGAGCTCCAAGGTTCGTGAACGACAGGCTCATCGATGCCCAAAGCCTTGTCCTCCCACCGCAGTCCATTCTCGTTCCATTTGTGCACCGCAGATCGCAGAAAGCTTTGCCATGCAGAGAATCTGTGTGTCACTGTGTACAAGAGTGGGCACACCTCCCCGGATCAAACCGAGGCACATGGGCTTGCGGGGTGCTTACAAGGGCAAGGATTTGTGGCAATTTGCTTATTCATGCCCAGATGTCATGAGTAAGGGCTGGCCAGATGTTTCAGTCGCTTCCCAATCTCTTCTCCAGCCGCATGGCTTTAGAACAGAAGCGATCGGACAAGCAGTGGGATCATGTCGGGCAACGTAGGGTCCGTGTATCAAATCCGAGGCTTGACGTGTGCTTCCCGGCCCCCGCCCCCCCCACCCCATACCCCCCCCCCCCCCCGCCCCCCCCCCCTCAAGGTTGTCAAGGTCGCAGGCCCCCCACAGGATCACAGACCCCCAAATAATCCCGTGAAGCCAAATTGCAGTAAACAGTGGTGCTAGTAGTAGTAGTAGTAGTCGTAGTAGCAGCAGTAGTAGCAGTGGCAGTGGCAGTGGCAGTGGCAGTGGCAGTAGGAGTAGGAGTAGGAAAAGGAGTAGGAGTAGGAGTAGGAGTAGGAGTAGGAGTAGGAGTAGGGGTAGGAGGAGAGTAGTCTTCGAAGCACTTTTTGAAATTTTAGATCCCCAGACGGTCTGCAGACGGTGTTGCCTTTAATCGTGGGGGGTTTTCTGCAAAAAACGATCCTTATCTGGGTGCTGCCTTTAAAGTAGTACAGATTGGGGCCGGAGCCGCCCGCAGGCCGCCTTTAATCGTAGGGGGATTATTAATCCTAGGTCAACATTACTGGAGAAGCGTTGTCAGGAGCGGCTTAGCCTGCTGCCAATCTCCCACGTGACGTGGCCCAGCTTCGAGCACGGAGTCACACCTCCGGCAGTGTCAACCTCCAACTCGATTTATGCAGCACTGGGCCAAGATGCAGTGTCCTGCGAACCATTCTGACTGGAAAAAGCGAGCGCGTTGAAACTTACGAGGCCTACTGCAACTTTCGGGACTTTGAAGCAGACGTGTTGCCCAATCCAAACAACGCGCCAGCCTCAGACTGCGTACTTGGGCACTCGTTCAGACAATGCGAGATGTACGACATGCTGACATGTAGCCTTGAGGATGTGGTGCTCGAACGCATCAACATCCCCTTGCTGGATCCGCGGGCCGAGAAGACTCGCGCACTTCTGGAAGCAATCCTGGAGGGGGCCTTGCGAGACAAAGACCGAGGCCTCGGGGCACTTGTGGGCTGTCGCGTGATGTCGCGTGGATCTTCTCCAGACTGCACGTAATGTAGCCATGCGATGTCATGTGTCACGTGTGTCTATGGGACATTGGCCGGGCCTCTCATGCAAGGCAAATAACTTCACCGGGGGTCTAAACCAGAGAGGTCCTGAAGTGCAGGCATGTCCGTGGCAAGGCGACCGAGGGATTGTACTGATACAGTACCCAATGGTACCCAATCTGTCAGGAGAAGTCCGTTTCCCAGAAGACATGCTGCTGCTTGCGGCGATGTGCTCATCCGAGCAGATATGGAGGTGGACTGCACTTGCAAGTACTTGCAAGAAGCGAGCATGATCCGCATCCCACAGGAAATGACCCACAATCGCCGGAAATCAAGACTATACTTGCAGGGTGAGTGTCGGGGAAATTGATGTCTCAGGTTTGTGGCACGCAAGCGCAAGGAGTCGGAACTTTATCTTGCAATGGAGAGCCTACTCAGAGTCTTGCCGGAAGCTAACGGAGGCATGGAGGTGCGACTTCTTCTGAGTAGGTTCGGCACACGTCGCCTCAGCATTTCCAAGGCAGTCAAGCGACGTTCATGGGACTTGCAGAAGCAACAAAGCGGAAACGCTATGCATTGCTGGCTTTGGGGATCTTGCTGCGCTTTCCTCATTCCTATGAGGCCGGCTTGGCCTAGGGTCATCAAGACTGTATGCATGAATGATATCAAAGAGAGTCTGTCTGCAGCCAGGCCCTGTTCGAGATGGGCTTTTTGCAAGTGATGGCCAGATTTCTGTCGAGTGGCCTACCGTCAGTTCATGATGAAGCTTCAGCAGATCACTTAGTTGGCTCATCTGCACAGAGTGATAGCGCACAGCGACACATTGTAGGTGTTCTAAGAAGATGGCAAATCATTGCTCGGGCAAGGACACGAGCGGGCTCACCGCACGTCTCAGCACACGAGCACTGCGTGTGGATTCCTGGAAGAATCGGCTGCAGGCAGCCAGGAACATGTGCCTTCACTGCAAGCGCTGACAAGCTGTTTTTGGAGAGATTTTGAGAGTAGCAGGGCCCACGCCCAAAGTGAGGTACTCCCTGCTTGGTACTACATCGCATCTTCTCCCTCCTGTGGAAGCTCCAACATATGTCGACACCTTCAGCGAGATGCGCTCCGTGGTCAGTGCCCCATGTTGATTGCGTTTAAGTCCTGTGAATTCGAATGACACTGGGCCTGGACCTCGGGGAGCCTAGGTGGGGACCAGTACACAAGAGCGTTCCGAAGTCAGCTACGTGTTGCAGGAATGCCAGGACATGCGACGATGATGAATTGTGTTCTGCGCCGTGAGCTGTTGCCGTCACTGAACATGGCTCTGGCAGGACGCAACAGCCGCCGACCTGGGCAAGTTCACAGACGCACTCCGAACCTACTCGGCCTTGGGCTTTGCATTGTATGGACAGGGGGCAATTTGAAAGAATGCGAATGCCGTGTTCCTGTCCAAGGCTGGGACTGCAGGCTTGCGTTCACCAGGATCTCCTGACAATGCATCGGTCATCCTGAGCGACATCTGCCCGCAACTGCTTTTGTCTGTGCAAAGCCTTCTCGCTGCTTGCTGAAGCCATGGAAGTCGTTTTCAAGGTCCTGAACACATTGACCCATATGATTGGACGTGATGAGTGCCTCGACAGAATATGTTCTGTTCTTGCTGGTGAGACGTCTGAACTGCTGCGGACACAAGACACTGATTCTGTCCAGGTATCCTACACGCGCCGCTGATGCTTGCTTGCAAACAATCGTTCAGTTCTGCAGTGTGTGTCTGCACTCGTTAGCACTCGTCCTGTCCTAATTGCACAGCAGACGTCTCCCCGCAACCAGGAGAGTGAGCACCAGGCTCAGCGGTTGAAAATGCATGCATCCAGCAACATCTACGAGTGTTGCATTCCAGATGCATCAAACATCGCGACTCAGCTCAAGCGGGAAGGCTCCTTCACGCGCATGTATCGATCTACTCTGAAGACAGAGGGCCTGAGTACTTGCCGCCATGTGTGTAGTTCTCCACTGGCATCACAAGACCAGAGCCCTGTCGAAGATGGCTTTTGAGGTGATTACATTCGACAACATTCCAATTGGGAATGGTTCCGTCGAGATTCTCGAAGGCAACTGCGACTGCTCTCAAGTGGTGAGCCTTGGGGTCAAGGGTGCGTGGGTTGCGAAAGCCGATGGCCTGGCAGGCGGCACTCGACGAGGCATGTGGTCTCGCTTTTCAGATGATGCCGAAGTCTTCAAGCAAGAGCCCAAGAGCCCAAGAGCCCAAGCACACGCGGCATGCCAGAGCTGTGAGTAAACTGCTACGGCATGTGGCGCTCGGCCAAGGGTCACAATCCAATCTGCGGCTTGGCAGAGAATTGATGAGCTGGCAAAGGTATGCTGCAATTGAGATCGGCTGTGGCATCCACCGAAGGGTGGTGCAATGCTCGCAGCTCACTCAAGGATGTTTGCTGTGCATGAAAGATGCGATCTCGTGTTGGGGGGACTCTATTTTCAGAGAGGTGATCGGTTTCTGACCCGAACGCCGTCGTACTGTACCCTTACATCCCACGCTTGTGTATGAGGGAAGTAGCTCTGAATGACTTAACACTTCGTCGCCCCGCATGCTGTTTTTTCCGCAGTGTTCCTTCGTGGTTCCAAGTTATAGAAGGCAGGTCGTGTCCCAGCATGAGGACACTTTCCAGTGGCGATTCAAGTACGAGTCTGAGGAGATCCTGAATTCCGTGCAGGATCATGAGGTGGGCTGTCAGTTGCTGCTCTCCGTGTGTCGCCGTACAAGCAGTCTGACTCACAGGACTCAGTGGATCGCGAGAATCGGGGGTATCGATTCGTGGTTCGACCTGTGCTGCTCTGCAGAACAGCTTCCGGCTTTTCCCATGTTCTGAGATCGCCTGGAGTTGGCTGGCAGAGATTTTTTGAAGTCTTCCCAATTTCGGCCGAGGTGGGACACGGACGATGCCCAGACGATTTTCGACCGACGCCAGCTCATTCTGGACAAGCCAGGTGCAATGCGTGATATGGCTGCAGAGTCAAAGTTCACGTTGATGTACTGCCAGCCGAACAGGTTTCGTGAAGCTGCTCACCAGCTTGCATTCGCAGGCCAAGGGCCTCGGTGCCGGTGGCGAGAAGGCGGAAGCTTCAGGCAAAAGTTTGGGGCAAACTACCGCAGATTTGTGCAGTCGGCCGAAGGTGCAAAACGAGGTGGATTTGAAAGTCGTGATGCTGCTATCCTTCCTTGCACAGCGAGGCTCGAAGCCTGTTGCAGCTTCGGGGTGACAGTGACAGTTCTGAAAGCGAGCTTGAGCTCCTGTAGCTTGTTGAACCGCTTCAGCCTCCACTGCCATGGCCAGGTACGAAGCCTCCGCATCCAGTAGCTTCGTTGCAAGTTGGCATGCACTGGTGCATAGGCCTGTCATCAAGCTGCTCAGGCCATGACCACCGAAGACCCCGTCGTGGAGAAGATTATTTTCCAGCCACTTGCCTTGGGAGTTTGCACGAATCGTTCTCAGCCGACAACACAGATAGAACATGCTTATACATGCTTGCGCCGGCAGGGGACAGAGTGCGGCAGCTGAAAGAGATCTAAGATGTGACGACGACCAGCAGTCCCGTAGTTTAGCTATCAAGCGCCGGTTCAGATCAAGCCGTTGGTGTGAAGGGCATGGTTGCAGGTCTGATAGCTTCGGATAGCAAAGCAAAGACAATCATCTAGACAAGAGCTTGACTGACGGCATGAATGACCTCATTCCTCCGATGGCCGGAGTCCGATTTGGAGCGGACAAATAAAGGTGCAAGGACGATTCGACGGTTGGTGCGGCAATGTCGAGTGAGCACCTAGGCATTTGTGGAATAAGATGATGTGGGCTTCCTCTTTTGTCCTGCCGGCAAATCCTTGCAGGCAGGCATCAACACACGTGGCTGGCAAAGATCTATTTCTGTACTCGCGGCGCGGAAAGACTTGCGAGACTGGGCAGGGCCGCAGTTGGGGCGCGGGCCTTGCGAGCTGCGCGTTGGTCCTGGCTTCCAGTTCCTTGAAGCATTCTCGTTGCAAATGCACGTCTCGACAGTTTGTGAGAAAGGAGACAGTGAAAGCTGCAAAAGGCTATATTCGAGTCATTGAGAAATTCCCCCCTCCATGGTACCAAGCTCTGGAGGCAACGCTGATCGGGATTTGTGTGGCCTGCGTCTGCTTCGGTGAGACAAATCCCGGTCAAGCACGCTTCGTGGAGTCGGAGCCCTGGTTCGGCTACAGCTCTGGCGGACTTTCCGTCGAGGACGTAATAAATTTGGTGTTCTGCTCTGAGCTTCTAGTGCGTGCTTGGGCTAACGACTTTCAAGCAAGCTGGTTTTTTCGTGGAAGCTCCATAACAGACCTCGTCTCCTGTTTGCCTGTCCTTGACCGGGCCTTTGCATTGACGCCTTCATCGGATCTTAGCTTGGAGCTGACTCTTTTGCGCTCCATTCGCTTTGTCCGCATCTTCCGGCTTTTGAAGTCAACAGCGATTATCGAGGACCGGCAAGGGCGGCGAGTCAGCAGTTTGGGTTTGTCGGTGGTGCGGATCCTGGTCTCGGCCATTGGAACGCTGTCGATCTCGGCCGGCCTGCTGTGGAGGGTGGAGGGTCGAAATGGCATGAATCCTTCGCTCAACTCCTTCGGTGATGCCTGCTTCTACATGCTGAATGTTTTCACCTCTCAGGGCGCACCATTTCCAGTTGCCAGTACGGAGGGCAGGTTTGTGACAAGCGTGGCTATTGTCATCGGCTTGCTATCTTTACCGGTTCAAGTTTCAGAGCTGTTTGCAGTGCTGCGAAGCTGGAAGGCTGAAGAAGAACGGGAGGATCGGGAAGGGGGGACGCTAGGAGATGATCTGCTTGAGGAAGCTCGAGATGTACCTCAAGCCTCGTCAGTTCTGCAGCCGGTGCAACGCGATCTTCCAACATCCGACAAAATCGGTGCTAGCTCATCCGCTTTTCTTGAAATATCGATCAGAGATTTCTGCCAAGAAGCTGGACTTGGTGTGGAGGCGCTTGAGCCAAAGGTGGCGGAGTCGGATTTGATTGACTTCTTTACCGTGCTTGAGGATCCTGCAACGGCAGGTCATATTGCATCAGACCCATGCGTTCGCATCAAGCTGGCCGCTGCCCTGATCAGAAGGAAGCGGCTTTACAAGGGGACCTGACATGCCCGGAGAAATAAGGCAGAGAGAAGTTCTGCTCCCTTTGACATCTTCCAGTGTACAGCGTACAGGCCATGCCCACGTTCTACTGAGCTAGCGTTACCCAGTGACTAGTGAGCCAGTGTCAATCCCACACCAACATGGTTCAAGAGCGACCTCAAGATTTGGAGCCGCTCCCCCCAATTGCGGTTTTTGCAACAGTGCCTGAAAGCCTCGCTCCGAACACATGGAATGGGTCATGTGAGCCATTGTGGTACTTTCCGAACATAGATCTTCGTCTTAGACGTTAGAGTGAAGAGACTTCGCTCTGAGGATTATGTTCCAGCTCCTGGAGTCCCGGCCAAACATTGAGCGACAGTGCGGAGTTGGAGGGAAAAGTGCCCTGGAAGCGCAAAAATCCATATCCTTTCTCTGATGGATCGTGGTTTACATCGAGAGATGTCCTACAGTAATTTGATGATGTGATGTTACAAGGGCGAGAGCTCTTGGACCGGCAGCACATCTCGGTTGCTCGATTCTACCACGGAATCTCATCAAGAGCCTTGGACAGCACAGGCAGACTGAGATTGCCCATCGAAAGGTGACCGATACTTGATGCTGCGTGGTGGTCATGTGCGTTTGCTAAGGTGAAGAAGGGCGTCAGCACTTCGCTTACCACCAGGAGGCCCCGCTTCCTGGTTGAATGCCGCTCACACGGGCTCCCGTCGTGAATAAGAGGCCATCATGAAGATCGTGGACATTGCGAACAACAACACGCAGGGTGCCTCCAAGCCCGACTGCCAGCCAGCCTCGCATCAAGCTCTGTGCAGCTTGACTCACGGTTTCTGCCTGTCAGCACCGCACGCGGTTGCCCAGCCGCCACTGCCAAGGCTACGATGGTAATTACATCATCCGCTGCCTGACCAACTTCTCCAACAAGCCGTCAAAGTGCCCCTGCCGGCTGGGCAAATCCTCACAGGTTCCCCTGCTCCGATGACAGGTGGGCCTTGACAACTTCTCTCAACCTGCTGCGACCAAAGCAGCATGCTGCCGGCTGGATGTGTGAATTCGCTCGTGGGGAGGTCGTCGGGGACTAAGGTCGTAGAGTCATAACTGTAGCCGAACTGTAGACGTTGCCCCAAGCCGACATGATCAAAATATGAACACAGGTATGGAGCCTTTCGCTTCATGTCTTCCTGATGGACGAACACCAAGCAGAGCCTTTGCGTGCCAGTAAGGGTGGCAAACTTTGCTTGCTTGGCTTGCACCAACATGAAGCACAGCTGAGGATATGCCTGCCATTGTGTTCTACAAGGGTACATCGCCATCAGAGGTGTGAAGCCTGCACGTTCTTTTGTGCTTGGACATGCTACCATCACTGGCCTAGGTTCAGCTTGCTGTCGGGGTGGGCCATGCCACGACCGTTTCGACAGAAACAAAGGCCGGGTTCGTCGAGACATATAAGCAAAGGCCATGACGGCGGCCTTGCTGGGACCGAAGCCTTGTGCAGAACAGGTAATTCCGGGCTGCCATCCAATCATCGTGAGGTGCGGTCATGTTCATTGAGCGCACGGTGGAACAGATGTCAATAGTAGTCAATAGCTTCGTGCATGGGAGACGCGTGAAAGGTACACGCATGATGGTCGTTTGAAGACGCTGACAATCCCGAGCAAGTTCGTGGAAATCTATCGCTGGGCCCACCTGGTGCGACTCTTGTGCAGTGATCGATCCCGACACCGCTTCTGCCCTGAAGAAGAATTGCACAGCTTCATGCCTTTGATGCATGGCAAGGTTGTAGCGATAGACAGCGCCCGGGGCCTGGACTCTCTCCGTCTCTTCGTCGGAGTCTTGGGCCTGACAGGTCAACATGGCTGTGGTCATGAACGGTGAGCTCATCTACACTCACACTCTTCCATGCGAGCTGATGGCTGACAGCTTAGCGCAGCAAAGCATCTACGACCAAGAGCTCTTGGAATCGCCATTTCGAGGTGAACTTCCAACCGGGGCATCAGGACACCTTTCTTGGCGCCCCTCCGTGGGAGTATGGCAGGTCAACCACTGCATCGGCCTGGGCCTGCTGGCAGCAGAGAATCGCCTCGCAGCGCACGCAGCGCATCGCTCGCCACGAGTCTCGAGGTCTACCAGCTCATGTTGGTGGGTGGCAGAGCCATGGAGCCACAGCATGCAAAAGAGGTACAGGCTCAGGATGAGCTGAAGGCATCCTGTAGGAATGAGCCCCAAAACGGGGGGTGTGCTCCTTTGGCTTTCTGAGAGGCTTGGCAAGACAATGGAACCGACATGCAGCATTTCGACTACAGCCGCATCGGCCTCACTGGATCGGACGATCTTCCGGACCCAGTCAAAGCCTCAGCGGCCGTGGTGACATTTTGCTCCTCGGAAGGAGGGGATGAGGTAGGAGCCAGGGAGGGAACTTCAGCTCACCTCCAGGTGCACTTGCCTGGCTTGCCCGTGCAAATCTTTGATGCCCGGTTGAAGGCCGGCAAAGTTTCGAAGCAGGCATTCTTTCGTTCGCTCGCAGTTCCAATTACCCTCGAGGTGGCATCCGAGGAGGGTATAGAAGTGCTCTGCGACCTGCTGAAGGATCCGCTCGAGGCGGCTTCCATGCTAAAGCTGCAAAGCTGTCATGTCATTGAGAGGAGGAGGATAGAATGGATAGAAATATCGAAATCCAACCCTCCAGGCGCAGAAGCAAGCCGCAGGCCAAGCCCTTCGAAATTTGGCAGATCCTGCCGTTGTGACCAACATGCGAAAGGCTCGAGTCTTGGTTTACGGGTCAGAAAGTTTTCACCCGTGTTGAAACTATGTGCGGCAAGGTTGTAAGCGTTCTGCTGCGGAAGCTGCTCATCTGCATCTCCAATCGTGCTCGTTTTTCTGCTATGATTCGGCATGACCCAGTCGATGCATGTCCGCCTTTTTCCAGCCTGGTAGTGGTAGTGGCACTTTGCATAAGGGGTTTCCACGCTTAGCCTGATCGTTGCCAATTGCTGTTGGCCGCTGCTTGATTCTCTTCGGCCAGTTTCGACTTGAACTGGCCATCCCAGATCTATAGACCCGGATACTGGGGCGGACGCCAAGAAGATGGACAACGTCTGCAGCGTCATGTTGGAGGACAGCAGCCATGAGTATCACAGTAGCCACCGCAGTCCCCGAGCCATCCGAGCCTGGTGGTCAGGCTCGGGAGGCGGCCACCTTTGAGGCCGTGGCCGAGTTGGCAACAAACCTCCTCACGTGGACTCCGCCTCCGGGCGAGGAGAGCTCTGAGTGAAATCTTCTAGCGGTCAAGCGGCTGAACACTTTCACGCTTCAAAGCGCTGGTTCTGGCCGTTGAAAGGAGGGAATTGATCGAGAGGCACGCTTGGAGCTGATCAAACACATTGTCAAGCAGCACTCGGATTCTGCAATCACGGAGGCGCTGCAATCTGTGATAAGGTCTCCGACAGATCGTTACTAAGAAGTCCAGGCTCGTGCCCCCATTGTGGTGCATCAGCTGCTCATGCTGATCCACTTCCAAGAGAACGTTCAGCATGCGACCCAATCTGGACGTGAACTCGTGCGTTTTCTCACGCATCTTGATATTGTCACGAAGTGTGGTTGCAAGGTGCTTGGCGGATCCGTCCGTCGGAGCGATGAGCACTTTCTTCCGTCCCTTGTGTGTCGTGATATGCGGTTGCACCCACTGTCGAAAGCCGCGCCTTGCTTGCGACCGAGGTTTTTTGACGTCCAACTTCACGACAGTCATCCGCACTCAGGACAACAGTTCTAGAAGCCGCATAGATCCGTTGTTTTCTTGGCCCGATCATGGAGGATCTGCTGATCAAATTGCTGGCGGGGCCATCCCTCGAATTACGTCAACACTGGGCCGAGGAAATTTGCCAGGCGGCCGTGCCCAGTAGGTATCCATTGGTTGCCTTTGCTTTTTTGTGTGTGTGAGTCAGTGTGAGGCTGCTCTCGACTGTAGTGGCACCGAATCCTCTCCTGCATTTGTTTCTCGTCAGAGCAGGGCTTCGTTTACAACTTCGACCCGAGTACATGTCAAAGCAATATGCATGACCAGATGCCTCCGACACAACTGGAAAGCTGTTTCCCGAACTTCAACTCCAAAGCTTGTCTTGCACGGACTTCGGCAGGGCATGCGATATCATGCGATGCAGCCAGGAAACAAGCCGCCTAAAGGCTTAAAAGAGTCTTACAGAATATGACAGACAGCAAAGCTGGGCCTCGCATTCCCGAGAGTGGAAATGCGAAATTGAAAGCGAGTGCCTTGCATCAGGGCGAGAAGTTTCAGCGGTTTATGCAGCAGATCATCAGACGAAAAGATGATCGCCGAATCAGCGGACAGCATCTTGCTTGTTGATGGTTTAGCTCTCGGTCTGCCGGTTGTACGTGCGCAAGCATGCAATGCACAGTGAAGCTAAGGTACCGTGTACTTATGAACTTTGTGCTGCAGCAGTAGCTTGGCAGCTAGGAGTCCTTCCATGTTTATGATGCACCCATGGCTGCTCTAAGATGCAATCAGCGACGTCTTATGTCTACGCTCTGTGCCATCCGTGACGATGACCTTTCAGTGGATGAGCAAGTCTTGGTGGCTCAGGCTTTGAGTACTTGAGAGTCAGCGAATCTGATCTGGTTCCAGCTGCAGGTGCTCTACAGCTGCCTTTCCAATGTCCAGCCTTCAGCATCTTGGCCCAGACATAGCGCTTCAGTAAGCGATTGGTTTGCTCACCCTGACCTGAGGTGGCCACAAAGCCCATCCAAGCCCCGGACACACTTCGAAAGGCTCGAGCCAGCGAAACAGGCCGCAATGCCGCTCACGCTCACGTCACAGGTGCTGAATTGGGTAAGTCTTCACAGTGTTACAGGTCTCGGCCAAATCATGAAGCTCCGGGTGCCCGGAGCGCCCGGGCTGACCATTAAAGCGGTGCCGCAGGTTGGCCGTCAGGCGCCTGCCGTGAGATTGCAGTCTGTTTGCTGCAGTCTGACATCCGTGCCGCCTTCTAAAGGTTGGCTCGGGGGAAACCCGCCTGATCGATTGGCAGGCTCACGTCACCTCATGGTCTTAGACCAGACTTAGACCAGATATAGTGATATACACGTATGTCAATGTACACTGTGTGTGAGAGAAAGACTTACATACCTATACGACATACATGGACGTACATACTTGGAGATATTATGTATGCATGCATGCATGCATGCATGCATGCATGCATGTATGCATGTGTGTGTGTGTGTGTGTGTCTGTGCATGCATGTATGCATGTCTGTCAGTATGCATGCATGCATGCCTGTATGTGTGCGTGTGTTTGTGTTAGTTTGCCATATTATGTTGCATGTTCTCATACTGATAGCGTGATGTGTCATGTTGCAGGTTACCTGTTATATGTCATGTTGTATTATTTGGTTTATATGCCAAAAACTGCCTATATATATATATATATATATAGATATTAATTATATACTCCACCTTGGTGTACCTACCTGTTTAGTGTGGTGGTTGTACATTATATTATAGATATGGTGCCCCCCCATGTACCTACCCTCGTTTGCCCTTCCTGCCTTGACCACATTGCTTTATTGTCGTGTTGATTGGTGCCCTGCATGGTTTCGGGCGCCTTCTCGAACAGTCCGAATTAGTATACACGGAGACCAGGACCTTGGAAAACACAACAAACCATGAACGCCATGCCATGAGTCAAAAGCAGAAAACATAGGTAAAACCAAGAACAACCATAAAACCTCTGAGTTTCGAGCTATCTGGAGCTCTGCCGCCACCCAGAAGGGATAGTTTGAAAATTACTGGTTTTATTGGTCTTTCCAATGTTTTCTGCGTTTGACTCAGCGTAAACACTGGAAAACAAATAAAAATTGCATACACACAGAGCCGGAAATATTGTAAACGCCAATACAAACAGGTTTTTATGGTTTGTATTGGCCTTTCCGACATTTCTGCTTCTGACTCATGATTTTTCATGGTTTGTACTCTTGTTTCCAATATGCGTTCTGATTTTGACTGAGCGGAAACACCACTAATACGGTGCGCACAGAGTCTAAAGCGTGTGAAAAAACGATCAAAACAGCGTGCATAAAGTCTGAAACGTTGGCAAAAACTTGCTCACGACCTTGCTTCGCCCCCGTCAGAGCTCAAAGCAGAATTGTGTCGTTTTCTGGCAGTCATCAGGGTTATGAGTGTCATGATCTCGTTTGAGGTAACAATCTGGAGGAATCTGCCTCACGACGTTTCAGAATCCATCTTGAAGTTGGCTTTGGGACAAGTGCCAGACTACGGTGCATTCAGTACCGAAATATGCGACTATGCCTAACTACTGGTTTTACAATAAGGGAAGGCTTCAAGTAAGTATCTGCGTAACCCTCGTTGAACCTTTGATGTTCACATTCAGCAACATACATGTTTGCATAACTTTCCTGTTGTCATTGCTCATGTGCCTTCGGACACAAGTAAATGCTAAGCTAAGACAACTTGTTTCAAATCACATGAGTCAACACAAACAGGTAATCTGACTGCCGCGTACCTTGCTCACAGAACCTCTGTGCAGGCAGGTACTCACTAGTTCAACCATGCCTGTACAGCAGGAAACTTGTATTCTGTGTAACGCCGCACGAATAGTGCAGTAGTTGTCAGATACCTAGGTGATATTCAGTGCCGGGTTCTGTGCATATATGTGTAAGTATCGTACTAAGAGCAAGGAAACTGTTCACACACAACTTCACGAGAAGCCCACTGCTATAGCAGAGACTTGTATAGGCCTGTACATATACATATATAAATTTATATACATATATATACAAACAAAAACAAGCAAGCACACACACTCAGAGATACATGCATGCATGCATGCATACATACGCAGTCACACACCACACGCACACATATTTATGTAAATAAATATTTATGATATGTATATATATATATATATGGATATATACACATGTATATGCACATCACATTCATAGAGAGAGAGAGAGAGAGAGAGAGAGAGAGAGAGAGAGAGAGAGAGAGAGAGAGAGACATACAAACCATGAAAACCTGGAGCAGACCGCGTAGTTCCTTGCCGTAGTCTGGAAAGACCCCGTTGCCAGCCACTCCAGAACACAGGGGGTGAGCTGGGCGGGCCTATGGCCTGGGGGGCGTGCGCGACCCCTACGCCCTGCAGAAAGAAAGAAAGACATACGTTTGTCTGTGTGTGTGTGTGCTTGCGTGTATTTTGTGTGTCTCGCTCGCTCTCTCCCTCGCTTCCGCCTCTCTCAAGAAGCTCTATAGCTATCTCTGCCAAACTCATTCCGGCTTGGAGCCTGGGATCTAGAGCTGTTGCCTGGGAGGAGGAGCCAAGAGTCGAGGACCCCAACGAGATAATTGTTTGGCTGGTCTGGCTCGTAGTGCACTTCACAGCCAGGCTGCGTGGATGCGTGGATCTGAAACCCTGGCTTGAAAGGCAAAAACCGAATCTGCACTGCAACAGCCGGTGCACAAGCGCGAGGACGCAGACCGTTTGGGCCAGCCTGAAAGTTTCTTGCATGATAGCCCTCATGGACAGGAATGCAGAAGGATTTTGGCTCACACCAGGCACGCCAACAAATACAGCAAGATGTCCAGGCGATCTGCTCAGTGACAGAGGCCTTTGAAGATGGAGTTGGCAGAATCAGAAGCTCAGAAGGCTGAAGACAAGGTGCCGCCAGAATGCATAGACCGCCGATATTCTGCCTCACGAAGCTGCACCTTGAAAGCAAGGCGAATTTGAATGGGCAACAAGCAGCCGTAGGCAGCACAGTGCAGGCGCATTTCAAGGAGCGCTACAAGAACGGCACGACCGAGTCCATGGAGGCAAAGTCATGCACAGAAACACGCACTGTATAGAACTGCACAGACGGCTGGCAGCGGCAGGTATTTCAGTTGGACTTTCAAGATACAATCTACTACCAGCTGCAGTTTATGAGCGGCAAAAGGCTTGATCCCTTCTTGGTGTCTTGGCAGATCGCTGGTTACGAAGCCATGCGGCCACATCCGTTTCTCGATGCTCTAGAGTTTTGGTGGATTTTTGGGGTCGGTCAGTTCGTGGATAGCAGGAAAAGGATGACATCGAAATGGTATCTGACGAACCTCCGAAAGTTGTGATACAGGTGTCCCGGCGCTTATGATACTGTCAGCAGGTGCAAGCGCACAGCACTGCTTCCGTGTCAGGGCTTGACGCAGGGCATGGTCTCCCAAGATACCTCCAACGACAAGAGCAAAGGCGGCAGATGTGCTATTTAGATGATGCCTTACATTGGCTCTTGTGCTGTTTGAACTGTTTGTCGTGAGCATGCGTGGAAGGCAATACTTCCTTCGCTTTTGAGAAGAGCGCAGGCCAGAGAACAACCTTGGGCCTGTCGACAGTGATTTTGTGTGACCTTGACGTCGCGGAATCGGTGGCAGTTTAGGGTGAAGGGCGTCCTGGAGATGTGCAAGAGTAACGGGTTGCGACTCCACGTCCAGGCAGGAACGAAAGCATCATTGAGTACATCCTGCGCTTGGTGGAATCGATCGAATCACGCCTCAGGAGTGCTTTGCGACAACAGATGTGTGAATTGAGAAATGATGACGCTGAGTCGAAAAACTGTGCATAGCGAAGCATGCAGGAGAGAGCTCGAAAGTGATAAAGACCAGGTTGATCAAGACCAGGACAGGTCATGTATTAATTGATTTTGCTGCGATGTCGACCGACATGTTGTCTTGTGCAGTAAAGCAGTGAGCTCCCGTAAGCGACGAGCCGACAACTTTTGGAAGTTCTCGAGTTCTCGGAAGCCGAGAAATTTCAACAGGCTGCTTGCCCATCGTGCAGGAAGACGAGAAGCAAGACGACTCCGGCAACGCCGCAAAAGAAGATCCAACTGGCATTGTCAGGCAAGCAGTGGAGAAAGGATATCAACAGGGAACCAGAAAGACAGACCCGAGATTTGGGGAGAGAGTATAACAACATGGGGCTCATGCTCGCAGACAAAATCAAGACAGCAGAGAGATGGAGAAGCTATGCATGTGGCTTCACGAGCAGATCAGGATCCGGACTTGTCCAAAAAGAGCGGCCGAAGGAGCGGCCGACAGCAACGAAGTCGCCCCCGAATGGCCACCGTGGCCACCGTGGCGTTTGGAGTCCGAGCCTGCGGGCGGGGGGCGAAGCAAGTCTCTAATAGCTTCGCGGGGTCGAACACCTTCAGTGAAGACTTGTCCAATCAACGATGGCTTCAATGTATATAAGAGGCGGGGGGGACATCTGACACGGGAGGCCTGGGGGCGGCGCTAATGGCGCTAAGGTTGTCGATGGCTTTTGGTTTCTGTGGGAAGACCAGGAAAGATGCTTTTGCGGCAGCAGTGCGGACACCCGTGGGGTAGACTTTCATGATCTTTCATGGGACGATGAGAAAAACCCTATTTCAAGCAAGTGAGAGGCAAAAGAGGCGTAGGAAAGAGTTCAGTTCACATAGCGTTGCTGGTTGCCCGCTGGTGGACAGGTTCATGAGCAGCTTGCTGAAGTGGACCCGTGTGGCAAAAGCAGCCTGGATAGTGTTGTATGGGTTTTGCAGCAGTCAGAGCTTCGTGTTAAACGACAGCTAGTGCTCTGGGATCCTTCAGGCAACAGCGAGAAACTTGGACAGCTTGGGCGATGGGCAAGTTGCAGCGGGTGGCCAGGAGTGAACCTGTGATTTTCTACTAGGCAAAGACAAACCTGGTATCTGCATGCTGAGCATGTTTGTGGGGTCGCGTATCAAATTGGTCTGTTTTTTGCATCAAAGTTTTCCTTTTTGATGTCTCGGCTCACACGTTGCATAGTCTCGGCCAAGTCACGGTCACTGTGAGGCGGCTACGAAAGAGGACATAATTTCAGGCACCCAAACCCTAAAGCCTACTTAAAAAAAAACAAGTCTCGGCCGGGTCCCGGCCGAGTCTCGGCCAACCCTACAGCCTGAACCCTAATCCCCAAACCCTAAACCCTAGACCCTAAACCCAGGTTTTTTTGATTAGGGTTTAGGCCGTAAGGTTAGGCGAGACGGCCGGGACCCGGCCGAGACTTGGGTTTAGGCTTTAGGGTTTAGGGTTTGGGAGCCTGAAATTATGTCCTCTTTCGTAGCCGCCTCACAGTGACCGTGACATGGTCGAGACTATGCACTGTGTGAGCCGAGACATCGAAAAAGACCATGTTGATGCAAATAAGACCAATTTCATACGCGACTCGTCTGTGCATCAGGACATTGATGCGGCGGCAACCAAAAACGATGCAGATCAAACAAACGTGATCGCCAGCATGAGCTACGTCCGCTCGGCGTCCAAGCATGGCTGAGGGAGGTATGGGGAAAGCTTGAGCTTGCATGGTTCTGAACAATCTGATGACGAGGATTGAACAGCCAGCTGCGACCTATCCAAAGAATCTTGGCACTTGCTGTGCTTGCGGTCTCAGTCTCAGCTCTTGCAATCGCATTGCGGTAGTAGGGAAAACGCGCCGGAAAGTGTGCCGCATTGCCCGCCCAGGTTGCTACGAAGCAGCCACATAAGTTCAGCGAAAGCTTGGCGCGGATTTTGAGCTTCGGCTTGAACTTAACTCTTGCTTGAACAGCAGAGATGTTCTCCAGCGTGTTCTGACCCATGCTGTGGCCGATGGCAAGTTGTTAACACGGAGCTGACGAGAAACCGGAGCCCGAATATCAAACTCCGAGCTACACTGTTTGTGGACAAGCCGGTCATCGCATTCCCCTGAGATCATCGCACAACGTCGTGGCAGCCTGTTCAACAGCGTGCTCAAGTGACCCGCAAATTGGTTACAGTAAAGTATCTAGTATCTAGTGCTGAAGCTTTGGAGGAACAAAAGTCGACATCACCAACAAACGTGCGGCTTCTTTGACAGGTCGTGTTGGCTCAGTCTCATCCAGACTTTGTTTGGGCTCGACTTGGGCAGAACAGGATGTGTCCGCGGATGATTAGCGATTGGCATGAGAAGATGCCGGCAAAAATTGAACTTTGAGCGAAGATCTTTTCCAGCCTGGAAGACTCGCGTTTTTACGCAGTTCTCGACCCAAAATTGAAACCGGAAATGTCCGAAACAAGAAAACCAGGACAGTGACCGTTCTAGAGTGCCAAGAGCATCCGCTCAAGTACGTGCAAGGACTTTGGTTGACAGCTTGGATCCGACGGTGGCACAGTCCATGTGCGATGCAGTGCTGCAGCTTCTGAACATACCCAGCGCCTTGTTTGCAATTGAACGGGATCACGCAACCCTTCGAGCCGTGCTGCTTTTGAGGAAACCTGGCGAGATTCACCCGTGCAAATGTGGAGAAGGCTTTGTGTTCCCAGCGTTTGGTGCGCTGTTCAAGCTTCGTGAAGAGCAGGTGCTTTCGTCTATGACACAAGCCTTCTATGTGCCGGAGAAAGCAGAGTCAGGGCCCTCGGACTGTACGAGCTGACCTTTCGCAGCACCTGGCAAACTGAGGGCATCCCTTCTATCCTTCTGCAACATCCTCACGAAGTGGTAGGGGCCTTAGAACTGCACAAGAGAAATCTCCAGGAAGGGCTGCGCTTTTGCCTTCAGGCTGAAGCCAGAAGCGAAGGACATCGCGGAAAGCAAGGAGCCGGCGTCAAGCAGGCACAAGTCGCACTCGCGCCCACGCCATGAGATCGCATTTCCCAGAAAGCGGCCCTTGGAGGATCATCAGCCCCCTGCTGTCCATCCTCCAGAAACCCGAGACATCGCAAGAGCAACGAGCCTTCATCTTCAACATCATCCGGCAAGGGATCCGCCACCCATCTGAGTGCTTTTTTTTGTTTTGAGTTTTGGTACCGCAGACAACGTTGCTGGTAGATCTTGGCTCAGGCTACGAGATCGTTTCGGCCGTCTCTTTTACTTCCTCCTCAACACAGAAGAGCACAAAGAGTAAGGGCTCCGGTGCCCAGCAACTGCTCCAGGCACAGAAGCTGTGCAGCAACCTTTCGGAAGATCGCCATTGCCTGAGTAACCACTTTCTATGCCGTCCATCTTAGTCGTTCAGGTTCTCAGACCTTTGGAGAAATCTGTGGACAGACTCAGCGAGCTCGAGAACTTTCACGACTTGTTCCGTGATCTCTCTGCGGCTTTCTTATGTCTAGTCTGTCTGGACTGACATTTCGTCGTCGATTGCTCAACCGTAAACTCGAATATCTGCCGCAGAGGTTGCATTCAGCTCTGCCTCCGTGCTGAAGAAGGCACAAACACTCTGGCTTGCAGGTGTTCCTGCAGCATCCTTTTCGCTCTACTTGCCAGGTGTGCCTGGTGTCTCATCCTGAAGGGCACGCAATGCTTATCGTGGAGGATGTGGTTCCGAAGCTTATGCGGGTCATTGGAGAGATCAAAGACTTTCTTCCTCGCTTCAAGTCCCTCAAGCTGCACTCAGGTAGTGACCACATGGCACTTGATCGTGTTCGTAGTCCTCCGAATCACCTAGCTGGAAGCACCCAATACAAATAAGTGAGGGAGACGAGTCAGGAATCAGACAGGCAAGATTCCTGATGCCAGTAGTTGTCCCTTGATTCATGCTCGCATGTGCAAAGGGATGCAACGGCCTTCAAGCTGGACACACCGTCTGTGTGCATTGATCCACAAACTCGCACCTCGCCTTGTCAGCTGGTCAATGAATGCAAATCCAAGACACAAGATCGACAACGGACTGAGGCAAAGTGATTGCAAACAAATACCTCTTGCTGCCTTATGTGTTCAACACGCGGCTTTTTCGCGAACTTTGCGGTGCCATTTCTAACGTTGGCCAGTGCCTCTCGAATCTTCAGCCGCTTCGTCAAGTCTTGATGTATATGCCGCAGCCCTTTGTAGCGAGAGGCGGGGCCCCAGGCCTTGATGCCAGGTCTGATCTCCTCGAGAACACAAACTGCGTGCCCATCCTGCAGCTCTTGGCATATGTTGCTGGGCGTATCTGGGCACAACTGGGACACCAGGTGTGTGCCTTTTTCTACAACCCAGGATCTCGGCGATGGGCTACGCGACCTGTACAACATGCTGAAAGATGTTGAGGTTATGGAGTCAGACTTGTTAGGAGATGCTGTGAGCAACTGAGCAAGCGTCACGGGATTTTGTGTGGCTCCGGGCCCCTTGAGGTGGACACTGGGACGCGCAACATGTCGCTACTGGATCACGTGGACACAGATGTCACAAATTTGATCGATGCCATGGCCCATATTGCAGCGTGGAAGCACAGTCGGATTCTGCAGGCTAAGATGCTTGCAGGAATGATCAAGATCGGGCACACAGCATGACTGGCAAAATTAGGTGCATACTTGCAACCGGAAAATGCACGCCCGCGTCGTCGAAGCATCAGAGCTGCAATCAACACCTCAGCAGAGACCGGTTCTACAAATAATTTGATGAAAGTGTTGATGTGCATTGCAACTTGCACCAGAGGTCATGTACACCCTCTTGCACTCCTGGGGGCCGCAGATGCCAAGAATGGAGTGCAAGAAGCAGGACGTCCTCAAGGCCAGCAGTCTCCTCAGTTGTCCACGATCGCACTGAAGTGATCCCGGCTCGACCGGCCACTCCCTCCTGCCCAATGGTCCTTGCCGCCTCTTGTGGATGCGAAGGTGGTGGGTCCCTTTAGATGTTTTTGCTGGTATGTTGTGCAACACGGATTTCGATGCTCTGAGACTATGGGGATGGCCCGCTCCTGCAGAGATTCGCCCTGAAGACGCCCAAACTCATTCAATGTATTCATTCCTCCAGGCCTTTGCGTGGTCTCTGGCTTCTGGGACCTCTGTGTCGGGGCAACGTTTTTGGAAGTCAACACGGGGTTTTTGGCATCACGTGGTCGGTGGCTGTGTCGGGTCCACTGCCATGGAGTTTTGAGGGCAGAAGTGCCGCCTAGCCACAGCAGGTGACTGAACTTACAGGGTTTAGGGCTTGCAAGTTGAAGCTAAACGCCTGCTGTTTGTACACCCGCCTGTGGATGCGGAGGTGGTGGGTAGGATTTTTTCGGGTTTAGGGCCTGCTGTTTGGCAGGTGCTTCGAGGGTGAGAGAGCATAGTCGGGCCGAGCTGGGGAGAAACCCGGAGCTGGGTGCAGAAGTCTCGGCAGCTTGGCACTGTTCCGCCAACTCGCATGTGGTCTTTCCCCGTTCCCCTGCACTCCGTGCACAGGACGTCTGCTTCCGTTGCGCCCACCGATAATGTACCGACATGCTGACATAGTTAACCATCAGACCCGTCCCATGCATCACCTTCATTGGGGCCGGCAGGCTTTGTGCAGCATCCTGGACACCTGGAATTCCATCCCTTTTCAATGGTTCATAAGCAAACAAGCTCTCTACTTGTATGTGCAAAGCCCCAGCTTCTACGCTTCGTGGAATTGATTCCCGATGCTTGTTTTTGACTCCATGGTCACGGCCTCGTTTGATTGGATCCACGCTCCTTTCCTTGTCTTACGTGGCACAGCAGGATCACAATTCAAGTTTGGGCTCACTCGGTTTCTGTGAGATGGATGGTTTGTGAATCAAGCGAACCATGCCTAGTCTGCAAATTGCGTCTGGGGCACCGTGCAGTGTGCGTTGGTGAAGACTGGCCGACTATTACAGAGTTATGTTTTGCAGGCTTAGTCTTTGGGCCTCAAGAGCACTGGCCAATCTTATGCTTTGACTAACTTCACCTGTTCGTCATGACTCTATGTCATTTCATGACTGGTCATTTGTTGCATTCATGCCGCCGGTCCATCAATCTACATGCGCATAGCCGTGTCCGAGGCCATGACTATCGGATCGTAAGCCACATCCTGACCAAGAGCGACTTGGCAATGGAGTGGCGCTGGAGTCCTGAAGGTTTTCCGACGAAGCCTTTTCAGCGCCTAATCTCTCGAGGTAGTGACGAGGGCAATCGATCCCAGAAAGAGACGCAGACTGTGTTCCGGGACAGTTCGGGGCTTGGGCAGGGGCTCCGGAAAACATCAAGCCAGCATGATGGCAGGACTCCAGAAGCGAAAGGTCCTTCACTTTTTCGCTCTGGGCAAAGACTGACAAGGACGTCAAGGCCATAGCATTTTGTCCTCGATCGGCCTCGCCTCAGCAGAATTTGTTTTTCCGTGTCAGGTGGACTTGAAGATCGAATGGGACTGCTTCTCAACGTCCATGAGCCATGCGGAGTTGGCGCGGGTGGTTAAGAGTGGAGAGGACTGCTGAGTACCGGCTTCGGATACTGCCGTGGACGATCTCTTCCAGCGACATTTGGATAGTGGCATAGCGAAAGTGAGATTGTTTGAGTCATTGTCATAGTGATTCAGTCGAAGCTTTTGGCGAGATGTGGGGTCCTTCCGAAATTCCGAATTGTCCGGGCAATCCGTCTGTTCTCTTAAAGTGTTGACATAGCCTCCTGAAACGATGCCACATGATGCTCAGCTTTCCCCGAGCATCTCAACCGAAGCGTCCTCAGCTTCGCCTGTTCTGATGTGAAGCCTCCAAAGGCACGCAGGAACCAACGCGATGTCTTGCCATGTCTTGTGACTATTGGGAGCAGTTCGTCATGGAGGGTGCTTGAACTCTTGGCCGCCAGGACAAGCTTCCCATAGAGGCGTCCTTCAAGCTGCTCAGGCGTCAAGGCCCCGCAGCTGGCTCGAGCGTGGGTTCTAGGAAAAATTGCACGTTGCGCGATCCAAAGTCCTCTCTTTTCAGCTCCGATTGAGGTGAAATGGCCTTCTATGCCCGCTACCGCGAAGAGCGCAGCACAGAAAACTACAAATATCGAACGGTCCGGACATGGGACTGGCGTGACAAAAACGATCAGCCCCTTGGTCGCGTGGACAGAAGCCCGTTGTGGAGAAAGTCTGCGTTCGGAGGTGCTTAGCGTTCTATGGGAGAGCCTCAAGGAAGTATGAATGAAGGCTAGCAGCCTGATGCTGCCGGCATGCGGACTACCGGATACATCCGTTTGCTCCAACCCAGGACAATCAAAAATATCTTGAACCACAAGGGGTGGGCGTACTTTGCCTTCGTCGTCACCATCAATGAGCACAAGATCAGGGGAGACCTTAAGAAGTCTCAAGATCCGACCATCCGCGAGAAGCTAAGATCAGCAAGTCAGATGATTCGGAGATCATGTCCAGAAAGGGATTTCTGTGATTTGGAGGTCTCCAAATGAAGCATGGAGACACAAGAGCCACAGCTGACTTGCAGATTCTGCCACCTGTCTGGATCAGACTCACGGCCAATGTGTGTTCCATGTCCTTATTGCATGCCCATCTCACTTTCTCACGGGGCAGCTGAGTGCTCAGGTATTGCATCAAGCAGACGAAGCCTTTGCAAACAAGCCGCCTGGAAATGACAAAGGTGCACTCCAGAAATCGTCAGAAAGACAGACGGATGGCGAGCGAAGTTGCAGTTACCAGCGTTGCGGTAAAATCTTAAGAAGTCGTTCAGGGTTGCAAGGTTTCGCGTTCAGGGCTTGGAACTGTTTTCTTATTGTTTCAACCCCAAACATTGGAATCCTCTTGTCGTTCGGGTGAAGGGCTTCGACTTGAGGGTAATAAGCTTCACACGTCAAGCTCCGCGGTGTATAGTATGTCGGACCGGCACGACTGCTGCGACGACCTGCCAGTCACTGCTACTCCTGCAACTTCTCCTCCTGCCGCTAGTACTGCTGCTGCTACTACTAGCTACTACTATTGCAAGTGCTACTCCTGCTCCTACTACTGCTACTGCTACTGCTACTGCCACCACTACTACTACTACTACTACTACTACAACTACTACTACTACTACTACTACCACTCCTACTCCTACTACTACTACTACTACTACTGCTACTGCTACTGCTACTGCTACTGCTACTGCTACTACTACCACTACCACTACCACTACCACTACCACTACCACTACCACTACCACTACCACTACCACTACCACTAACCACTACCACCACTACCCACCACCACTACTACTACTACTACTACTACTTACTACTCTACTACTACTACTACTACTACTACTACTACTACGACCGCTACCACTGCTACTACTACTACTACTACTACTACTACTACTACTACTACTACTACTATTACTACTACTACTACTACTACTACTACTACTACTACTACTACTACTACTGGTACTACTACTGGTACTAGTACTGGTTACTTCTACTACTACTACTACTACTACTACTACTACTACTACTACTACTACCACTGCGACGACGACGACTACTGCTACTCTTACTACTAATGCTACTACCACTACCACGACCATTGAAATTGCCACTAGCAGCAGCACCACCACCACCACCACCACCACCACCACCACCACCACCACCACCACCACGACTACTACTACTGCTCCTGCCACTGCTACTGCGACTGCTACTGCCACGACAACGACTACGACTACCACTGTCATGCCCCAAGTAGCATGGTGACACATTGAGGTCCGGGTAAAGCGGCAGTGAGTGCAACTGCGCAAGATTCGTTCCTGCTGTGGTGCTATGTCTTACATTCTTAACATTAGCCACCAGCTGGCCCCGTCCTCCAAGGATGTTCCATTCACTGTGATTTGCAACACAGCAGCTCAATTTCTAGCCCGCGAAAGGGCTCGATCGTTTGGTCTTCTAAATCCGGGTGCTGTTCTCAACATCAAATCCGAGCGGCTCGTTCTGCTTTGTGGTCCCCTCCCGCATCCTTTCATTTCCACAGTCCTGGCAGTTCCAACGCCGAAGATCGTGCTCCCGCCAATTTTACCTGGGCCGCCTCCAGCTCCCCCCCGCATTTTGGGGTGGGACTCCCGCTCCCAACACAGACCGGGACTCATCCATGTGCAAAGGTGCTCCTTCCGCCCTGCTGCCTGGAAATGCTCGAAGTGCTTCAATTCTTAGCAGGGCCACACTATAAGGCCCTCTCGGGTCCTTGGTGTGGACTCCTAATCCCCCCGCCGCATTCGGGGAGCGTTTTGCATGGGGGTCACGAGCCAAGAGGTCCCAGGCCATTCATCGATGGGTCGTGCGCAGAGCACAGTCGCCAGCAGCACCATGTGCAGCAAACTTCAGAGAATGCGACATGGATGTGCAGCACCATGGTAGGAGGGCTTCCCTCCCGCGCCCAAATCATCCATATCGGATATGACATGCCTGTGCAGGCAGATGAGCAATACGAAGTGGTGTCTGAGTGCCTTGTATGAATGCGGAAGAAGAAGCCAGAGATTGAAGATAGCAGCCGTCTGTGTGTTTGTTTTTCAGTTGACCGTGAAGCTATCATTGTGAGCAAAGTACCCTCCTGTATGTATTATCACCAGAGTCATACTAGGATCAGATGCTCCTACTGCTACAGGTGGCTTCAGGCTGTCTGGGAATCAAGTTCAGTGCTGACAGGCGCGGCGACGACGAGTATTCTCAGGCCGCAGGACGCCTGTCAGCACATGAAACTAGAGAGCGTGGCGGCGTAGGTGCCAGGCTCGAGAGATCAGAGAGCCCACATCCCCAGGCTCCACGGCTGGCACAACGGTCATCGGCAACCTCAATGCTTCTGAGGGAACCACGGCTTTGACGATGAAGTCGATGAACATGACGCAGCCCGGCAGACTTTTAGATTGTTTGCTGCCATGTTGCAGATCGGTGTTGCATTGGGATTGGTTGCACAGGACGTCCGGAGACATGGACGCTTCTGGGGCCTCGCCGACCACGAACCTGCAGGCTTTGGACTCTGCGACTCCGTCAACGATGAAAGCTGTGGAACTGCCGTTCTGGAGTCGGTGCAGGACGCTGGCAAAAGTTTCATGGGCAGAAGTGAAGGCAAAAGCTCCTTCTTCGGTTCTGAGACCTCTGGTGGCAGATCGACGAGAACGGACCGCTTTCTGTGAGCGAGATCTGTGAGGTGTCTCCGGTGTCTCCAAGTCTACTTGATGCGAGTGTCAGGATCTCCCAGCAAGCAAGTCCAGCAACAAGGCCTCCTGAGATGAGAGCGGTGCTACAGCTAAAATCCGCAGAGTCTCCATGCCTAAGAAGCTTGGCCTCAGGCCAAGTGGCTGAATCCTTTCAATGCCCCTGGGCGAAACCATTGTGTTGTCTCGCGAATCTCCAAGCCGATCCAATCTTATCCACGTCAACTGCTCCAAGCAAGCTTCAGGAAGGACCTTTTGAAAAAGCGCAGCTAGAGAACTTCATGGCCGTGATGCTGCCCTTCGCAGTTCATCCAGGAGATTGCAGGGAATATGAGAAACACTGAATCGCATTTTGGTGCGACTAGATTTCTGACATGTGTTTTTCATTGCCAGGAGCTGTCCACGGCCTGTTGCAGATTGCCCCATCTGATTATTCACCGGAGCAGCGGGCACAGGCTTTCCAAGCAACAGTGCGATAGGAAACGAAGTAGGGCGTCACCTCAGAGAGCAGCAGACTTTCAGAGGAAGCGGCACAGCACATACAGCACCGACTCTGTGGCCTTCGCTCGGCAGGTTATGAGCTCCATCACCATGCCGGATGTCTTTCTGCAGCACAACCTGGTGCCATTGCTGGTGCCAATGTGCAGCTTGGTCAGTCCTGTTCGCAAGCAGCTTTTTCACCTTTTCCCAGGGGCAAGAGCTGAAGTGGACCCAAAAGTCCGAAAGATCCCCGAGGTTTGCTTGCGTATTGTACAATCATTCGCGAAGTCGCCCGAGGCAGCGGCCACGCAAGTGAGCAACTCACCCGCTGGTCATGCAACACACTGTGCCAATCTTAGCTGAAGAGCAGGAGCAGGAAAGGTAGTGCATAGCGCGATGCGAGTTTCTCGAACTGCAGGTACCTGATGCTGATGGCCTTCGTCCGTCCAGTCCCTGCTGGCCTTGCTGAAGAGATAGATGCTGCTAAAGCTCACAGGACACTCGACTAGTCGAGCATTTCACTCCTTTCCTGTCTATTGCTGCACACATACGTCAGGAATTTTGATGGTGTGCTGCAGCAGTTCTTGCAAACGTGCCACCTGGGTGACCCTTTGCTCAATCTTGGCGGAGTGCGAGTGTTAATGGACGTCTTCTGGAAGCTGTTCACTCGGCGTAAGCGCTTCATGGACACGCCGACGTACATGAAGTCCCTGGACTCGGAAGTTTCCACAAAGATGGCGGCAGACAATTTCTATCACGTCCCCTTTATGGAGAGCGTGGTGAGGGTGCTGACTAGTCTGTGCATCGGCAAGGACAGTCGGGCCGTGCAGGTGACGCAAGATCTCATCGCCAAGGAGCTCCTGGTAACCAACGAGGCCGCGGCATGTCGTCGCCGTCCCGAGCCCGAGTGCTACGAGAACGCATGGGCCGAGCAGCCGTTTACGGCTGATAGCTCGAGACTAGGCTGCAAGAGTTCAGTCAGTTGCACTTAGATAATGGCATAAAATCGGCACCTCCAGCAACATGCGATCAAAGACACCTGTGTCGCCAGGCGCGCTGGGGAGAAAGGCGACCAGGGCGAAAAGAAGACGTTGCAGCAGTTCTTCGAGGAGAAAGATCGGTTTGTTTTATTGACAGTTGGCACTCTTGTCTTGTTTGACCCGCATGATCCAGACATCGAAGCAGCGGAGGGCGTGAAAATTCCAAGAGTATTGTGGAATCAGAGCCGTGCTCAGCCACCGCGGTACGCTTGCGGCCAGCATAGTGACGATGTGACTCAGCATGTGGGAGATAACGTCTCTCTCGAACGCTCTTTCTATTTTGCTTTGGTGAATCTACTGGCTCATCTTTGTGCTGACCGCAACACTGCCAACTCCGCACTGCTTTCACGACATATTCCAGACTCGGTCGTCAAAGCTCAACTGGTGCAGCAGGAAACTTTGATGAACGCCGGCCTCCGATTTGTACCACCCGGTGGGGAGCTGCTTCAGAGTGCTTTGGCTGACCCGAGTGTAGAAGCACGTGATCTTGGTGACATCAGCGACCTCGCAGGCCTTTGTGCTCATACGTTCCTTCTGCTCTACGGATTTTTGGGCCAACCGCCTTTCTCCGACGAGGAGCATCGGAGCACTATCATAAAGTCAGTGTACCTTGATGGCCGTCGGGCCGACGATGACGACACGGTCTACGACGAAGCCGGATCCAATCTGGTTCTGGCTAGCCAATCCCTTCAGTCCCTCTGCCACATGTGCTCGTGGCAGCTTGCTTCGCTTGCCGACCTGTGTGAGAACATGTGCATCTTCAACAACAAGCCTATGCCCAAACCACCTGTTGCTTTTACAGATGCCATGAGTACCCTCATCAGTGCACTTAGCAAGATGTTGAGCAAACTCATCGGCTTGGGATATTTTGAGCGCTTCCGGATGCATCACAGCAACGCCGGGGATCTGACGAAAGATTTCGCCAACATCTACAAGATAGATCACCTGGTTAGCATCTTCACGCTTATGCACAGGTTGCAAAGGACCCACCGCAGTGTCACCACGACACCCTTTGTTGCAGGCCTTGCAGATGTTTGTCGGGTCATAAACCAGTGCTGTGCTTTGTCTGTGAACGAAAACATCCTGCAATTCATGTCTGGGTTTCTTGAGTTCCTGCCTCCATCGGTTCGCAGAAAAGTTGGAGCAAGCGGTGTGCCCATGAATGAACGCGCGCCGGCGAAAAGCATCACAGGCTTCGAAATCGAAGAATGCGAGAGCGTGGAGAAGGTGTTAGCAGACCTCGGAAAACCTTCTCTGCCATGGGAGGCGGAGCACGTTGGAGTGTCAGATGCCACACGGAATCTGGCAGAGTTCGTCACGGTTTTGCTGGACTTCGTTTCGTTGCCTGACGCACGCCTTGCCATCCAGGCAGTCCGCTTGCTTGCCCGATTATGTCGCCGACGGAAGGATTTCCTCGAAGCCATAGACAGACTGGAGCTGCTTGATATGGACGACGCCGAGAAGTTCAACTCATTGGAAACATGGGTGAAAGAAGCCGATCGAGTGATTGATAAGATCAACCAGCTTGAGAAAAACATGCATGAAGAGCAAAGCTTCGCTGACCGGGAGGGATTGGAGCACTACTCCCAGCAGTTTGAAGCAAATGATTGGAACGAAGACGATCTGCAGAGTGAGCATGTTGATCTCAAGGACAAAGCCGATCGTCTGGTTGAGTATGCGGATAAGAAGCAATTGCGTCAGCAAGTTGTTCGAATGGCAGCAGCAAATCTCCAAGGGGATGCTCGCATACTGAACTTTGATTTTGAGGTGAAAAGCCTGCCAAAGCGGGAGTCTGCAACACCTGGAGCCTTGCCTGGTCTGGCCATGCTATGCCTTAGCGGTTTCGGTTTCCGGTTAGGACTTCGATTCAGCTTAGGGCCTAAACACTCCCTCTCCCTGAAATAGTAGAGTCTTTGTGCATGCCTCTAGGCCAGTCGACTCCAGAAACACCGCTAGCCGAACTCTAGGTGAGGATGACGATGACGAGAATCGGCCCTGTCCGCTCTTCGTGGGTGTTTTGAGTGCTGGCTGGCTGCCCCCGAAAGAGGAGGCGGACGTGAAGATGAACCGCTTCAAGCCACCAAGCGAATTCTTCGGCTGCGACGAACTTGGCCAGCTTTACATTCGCGGTCAGGCCATAGACGACACCTTTGGAGGCTTCTTCCAAGGGAGCTGTGTTGGTATAGAGCTGGACTACACGGGTGTTAACCCGAAGCTCTTCATCTATGTCGACGGCTACAGAACCGCCTGCATTGACAGAGAGGTGGAGGAAGGCTCTGTGCCCTGCGTCGTGTTGGGTTCCTTGCAGCAGATCGTAAAGCTGAACCAAGGACGACCTCGCCGTGGAAAGGGCCTTCTGATCTCACCGAAAGATACGAAGATTGATGAGAACTCACTAGTGGTGGACATCAGTTATGATGTTTTGGGGGACAAGTACTGCATCAAGAGCCCTGGGGAGGAAGAGCCGACGATGATCTACAGTGGCTGGAACTCGTGCTTCTGCACAAGCGCTTTGGACTTCCGAACTGAGTACCTCTCCAAGCTCAAAGCATTCAAACTGCCCATCCATCCCAAGAAGTCCTCCACATGGTGCGTCAACGTTTCTCTCACCCAAGCCTTCATCGAGTCGGCTCAATTCGTCCGTGGGGCCCATGTTGCATCCCAAAAGGCATTCAATTCCTTCTATAGCAATACAACCACGCACTTGCGACGAATGGTCGGTACAAAATGGAATCCTGTGCTTCGTGAAGGGTCCGACAACGAACAAGTGGACACCGGACTTGTTGCCATAGAAATCCATGAGGACATGGTCTACGGCTCCACTCGTATATTCGTGTGCTTTAATGAGGAGGACCCCTCACAACTGTCTCCGGAGCAAGATTCGGAAATCACGCTGCGACTGCGATTGACGCAGCTGTACCCTGTCAGGGAGGAGAAAGCTCAACTAGCGAAACTCTTCCGGCACTTCACTTCGATTTGCAAGCAGGGCGACGGGCATTTGCTCAAGTACCATCGTGTGGAGCTCCTTGCCTTGCGTGTTCTCAGCTTTCTCCGGAGTTCAGCTCCACTGCGAGATTCCATCATGGCCGAGAAAACCTTCAGACGGAAAGACAGCGCTTTCGACGTTGCCGTCAAGTTCTTGCAGGCCTTCACAGAGCTACTCCCAATGTATCGAGAGATATTTCTCAGACCTGACGTGTTCAAGTTCCTGGTGAAATCTCTAGCATACGAGGACATGGGTGTTTCTTCCTTGCTTGTGAACATCTACAAGGACAATCTGGATGCAGTTCAAAATGTTACACCATCCTTTGTACGGGAGATGATGGACGTGCTCAAGGAGAATCTCACAGCACGTCCTATGGTCTCCTTGGATGCGCTCACAGCACCTCGGCAAACCACGTCCCTTCCAGCTCTTAACCTCGGAAAATTGTACCGTTACGGTCCTTGCCTGAGAACTGCACCTCTTCAAAAGGGAACATCACGGCCCCGATCGTTCTTGCTTTTCTGCAGACACTGCTCGGTGGTGGAGCCGCCCCCCACTGAATGTGTGCCCTCCAGGTCGATAGAGGCAGATGAACTCAGCTAGAAAACATATCGCCGGCACAAGTTTTCGGTTTTAAGATATAGTTTTGCTTATAATATGCATGTTGCAGTTGCTAGAGTGGCGCAATGGCATTCGTTGTATTGGCAACGTTGATAGGTCGGCAGCCGGTGTTGTTAGTCAGAAGCCTGTCAGTTACACGGCTTGTATGTCCCGATCCAAGAGGGATGTGCAAGGAGATGTAATCATCATCGCCCATATTACATTTCGTACATTGGGCCCAGTCCGGTGCATGAAGTAATCACAGTGCTTGTCAAGAACCCCCCCCCCCCCCGCAACGCTACTCGCCTGCGCCCGCACATCCATTCTCACACACTCACCCCACCCCCGTCAATCCCTATGTTGCCTTTCTGATGCGCAGCTTCGTTGTGAACGGATCTAGCAGCATCAACGAGCCGTGCTCCTCCCAAGACTTAAAACTTAAGACTTTCGGTGCAAAGAACTGAAGCGTCCCTTGGTAATGGTCTGACATCAAAATGTTTTGCTTTGCGAGGAACCTCCCGTCGGAAGTACTTGTGAAGTCCTTCATGTCTGTTTGAGGTGCTCAATGCAGTCGTTAGCTTGGGCAAAGACAATCTAGATGCGCGGAACAATGGTGGCTCCGCTGCAATGGCTTTGGCACAACTTTGATTTGGACCCCTTTGAAACTAAAAATATGGCAGAAATGGGTTCTGGGAGCACTCTCAGGCAACATCATCGCCATGGAGTTCTTGAAAGAAAACACCGTGTTCCGACTGGAAAGCCCGTTCATTGCTATGGCTCGTGATGGGTTTCTGAGCGCAAAGATCAATCTGAAACTTGGCTCCGCAAGGTCTGTTGCTGCACGCATCCGTGTCGACTGTGAGCATTTTAGCACTCCATGTCCGGTCGGTCAGGAAAGACAACAGGGACAGAATCAAGGATTACTTGGAAGCGCTGGAGGTGACATGGAAGCTTGTGCTGAAGCGCTGTATCCAGCAACAGCATGAGTTGCTTTGAACCAGGCTCGCGCACAAAAGCGGCAGGTTCTTCTGCGAGAGGGCCAGATGAGTGTGGGAAGCTGAGACTCCTCGAACTGCCGCCGCTGGATGCCACTTCTGCTGTTGCTTTCTGCGGAACGGACTGGGTCGCGCAAACATGCTTCAATTCATGATATGATTCTTCTGCGAAGGCTGCTGCCGCTGACGTTCCAGAGGTCGCTGCTGCTGCAGCAGGCAGCAGGTACCCTACAGAGAAGCACGCAGCAAGCCGTTTTCGGAAACATGTACTTGTAGCCTCGGACCGGCTTATGCATGGCCTACCGGCATGACACAATGAGCATCGGTGTGTTTGGCCGATCCACGCGTGGCTGGCTCCCTCTGTTGTTCTTGTGCGTGTGGGTGTGTCAGAATACAGTCGCAGTGACAAGCTGTGTCCCCCTGCGAACTGTTGTAAGGCTGGCACCTGTTCGATTGATTCAGAAAGGAAATTGTAAGATGCATGATCACGACAAAAGGTTGTGGACCCCTTATCCCATGAGCGAGGGAAGTCCCCACACACACACACACACACACACACACACACACACACACACACACACACACACACACAGACAAACATGCTGCATTCCAGCATGCCGCCAGCTGGCTTATGCCGAACTCTTGCTACTATCCAGCACACTCCCCTCTCAGTGCCTGATCCGGTTGTGCAACGTTCCCGGTTGCTGCTTCTAACGGAACATGTGCGCGCATGCGGTCCGCGGGCTCTGACAGCCTTCACATGGTGCCCATTTTGCACCATCTGGTCATTCCATGGTCAGGCAGCGTAGTGAGACGTCCCACACGAAAGCGGCTATAGCACAGGAACGTGCGGTTCAATGCCGTCAAGATCTTGAATGAATTTTTTGTCTCTCAGAAGCATTGCTTCATGCTGCTTTAACACTAAAAGAAGTGTCAGGGAGAAAGCAGCCTGTTTGATGGGTAGACATGCCTGCAGCAGATCAACTGGCCGGCTTCCTGCTGCACCCAATGTTTATTCAGATGCGTACATCCACTTAAACGAGAATGACCGGCTACTTATGCAAGTGCGTGTGTGCACGTGTGTCTCTTCGCGGAGGAACAGGGGTTTCTCGCTCAGTGAAGAACCCACTGCCACCAGGGCGAAGTTGCCTCCATTGTCCGCTCCACCTGGAAGGGCGTCATGTTCGTTCACCTTTCATCTCATCTCGGTGCTACACCATTCCTGCCGTCTGGTTTGCGGGACCGTACCCCCACCTTAGCTCTAAGCCTCTAAGCATCATCTCGTTGTCAGATGTGAAGCGACATGAAGCGAAAGGGATCATGCCGAACAGCACGAAATAGCACGAAAGCGATTCTGTTTGTGTCTTACAATGTATATTCGTGTGTCTTCGCGTCTCCGTGTGTCTGCATGGAGCGGCATGCCCCACTTGCTCAGATCCCACTCTGAACAGATCAATGAATGAATGTTAAGCGGCTCACCGCGGTGGGCAGGAGGGTATCCGGTATAACGGTATACCTGTGATCGCACAAATTTGTGCCGTGAGTTAGTCAGCACAGGCTGCATCTAAGTGGAGGCAAGATGCGGTTAGCCAATATCCGATTTCTGGCCGGCGAACACGTACCAGACTGCAAAACCAAAAGGGGCAAGTCAATCTTGTTTAAGGTGCGCAAACAGTGGAGGAGGATGAGCAGGCCGAGCAGAGTATGCGATTGGAGCTTCGTTGCGTCACTGAGTGTGCAGGTTGCAATGGACATGGACCCACTAGCTGAAGTGAACAAACTGGTCTTGGGAACGTGCCTGGGAATGACACAGATCGGCGCTGAATAAAGCGAGTTTTGCATGTCTGATCTGTGTGACCTGCTTGCGAGGAACCGAATGTTTCCAACAACTTTTGCTCTCTCGTCGATCGAGCTTATGTTGAAGTGCTCAGCATTCGGAGCCAACAGGCAAGCTGAAACACGTGCGTAGCATATGGCATCTGAGCTTCGTAATGCAGGGCTGCAACACTACTGCTTGCTGTCATGGCTTCGCAGGACCGTCTTGAGGCACTTCGCCAGGGAGGTCATCAAGTGCCAAAGACCGGAGATGGAAGAAGGAGGTAATGAGGCCTCACTGATCACGGATCCGTCAAAGAATCTCTCGGTCTGGACATTCGTCAACAGTCAAACGAAGGACGATGACGAAGATCATGAGTCGCAGTATGGTATGGCTCGACAAAGATTCTTCCGCCATGTTGTGTACTGGAATCTTGCCTGCATTGTGACGTGTGCAGCTAAAAGCGGAGTTCTCAGAGCTTCCGTACGCCGAGGTTGGCATCAGACACCGATCAGGAAATTCCTCTTGTGGTCCAGGATGCGTACTTGCGGCCTTGCTGCACTCAACCGGCCTCATGCACCCATTGGTTTCCTGGACTCTCGACTCCATGTTTGAACAGGCGCATGGTGTGTGTGCTGCTTCAGCCTCATGAGATCGAGGCGCGACTCAACTGTGATTGGACGTGCTACATAAACCGTCCGTGGAAAGAGCTCAGGGTTGTCAACACGCATGCAGGACATGCTCCATGACCGCTGGGACAGCAGGTCTCAGAGACTGCGCCTGGTTCCTGAGCAGCTGACCTCAAGAAGTGAAGCGAAGCAGTCAGATGAGCATGGTCCTGCAACATTTCTGAGGAAGCCCACGCACATCGTCTTACTGCTGATTCAATGGCGAGACACTCAAAGGGATCGGCACTCGACGGACGTGCGGTTCTCAGCACCACTTTCGCGGCTCAGGTTCACGCAGTATTTGAAGCGTTTCCCGGAATTGTTTCTAGGCTGCACGATGATGCAGGGCTGCAGTTCTCGCTCTCTCTCTCTCTCTCTTTCGTGGTTGAGGGTGCTTTCGACTGTATGTCTCCAGCTGCCCACACACAAAAGCCTTCACCAACAGTTGCGAGAGGCAGCCGGGTCCCACAGAGAGCCTCCGCACGTGTCAGAACACCAACGGACTCATTTTGAATAGTTGAATTGCTCATACTGAAAAGGCTGCTTTCTTCTGACTGCCAGGCAGCGTCTTTTGAGGTGTGGGGTGTGCCCTCTGTTCACGGGCTCCAGGCCAACATTACATCACCTTTGACGAACTAAGCTGCTAGAACCCGACCCGACGCCTCTAGAGATTGCCGGCATCTTCTTTTTGGCTCTTGAGCTACTCGAACTATACTTTCAGCGTGTAGGGAGGGTTCCGACCCAACATCTCCTTGTAAAGCCTCCGTTTTCTTCCCTACACTATCTCTTTCAGGTTTAGGGCTTCACCCATCTTCGCCCTCACTGCGCTCTTCCAAATTACATCTCCTTGGTTTGCCACAGACTACAAATCTCCTATCACGGTTACATATAGAGTTTCCCAGCTCATGTCTCTTCCTCGGGCGACCACACCTGACTTCCGCGTGTCAACGTAATGACCAAAATACCGAGAATTTGCAATAAACTGACATACCTAGTCTGAAAAAAGGCTGTCTGGTGAATGGTAAAGGTTAGACGGGGGTTGTTCTCCTGTCTCAAGCTGCTGGCGCTCTGGACCCCGAGCCGACCTTCCGACAGAAGGCTCTTGGTCCAGGTCTACAGCTCAAAATCTCACCAAAAATAAATCATGAACATTTTAATTAGTAGTGCTTCTTCGAGTTATGACAGCACAGACCCTAAATGATGAAAGACTGGAGAAGACAGCCATATCCCGCACCTCAAGACTTTGAGAGGCGGAACACAAGTGTGGACCGGGGCATCGGTGCTGGCAGCAAGAGCCGCAGAACTCCCACGCCCCATCAAATCCACGATCCGGGTGGTGTGCACCCTGCTTCGGGGACCAACTGAGAAAAGCATGTAGAAGTTCAGGTCTAGGAGCATGTAGGTTGCGGACGGTTTTAGGGTTGGAGGTTGTTGCAGAGTTGAAGTTCTTTCTGGTTTAGAAGTTGTCGAGGCTTTGAGTTTGACATGTCGTTAACTCCAGTGCGTGCTGGGGCTGCTTGTGGTTGTGTATTGGTTGATTTAAGGCTTGAAGCATTTGCTCGTGCGGATCCGCGGGCAAGAATCCCGGAACCACAAAACAGCTTCGAAACCTCGAGGCTTAAGCAAGGCAATGTACTACGAGTTGATCCACGGTCCCGTGCAGGCCTTGCCTGCGCAAGAACGATGTTTTCGTTGTGGTGGCTGAAAACAGTTTTTGTCGGAGGGCCAACATCATGCACAGGCACTCGTGGTTGGGCGGAAGATTTTGGGACACATCCGTCTTCGGGGAACTCGGTTTCTCCAGGCATCCGGTGATTTCGCTCACGGGATCCGGAAGACGGGACTCCAGCGGCCTGAAACGGAAACACTGGACTACCACACTTTCTCGGGCATGCCCGAAGGTTGACCCTTTTGTTTGCTGAATGTTGATTATGAAGGTTCGGGACTGCAGGGCTGAAGTCTTGTGAGGCCTTGGCTGCATAAGGCAGCTTTCGTTCTCCAATCCTACTGCTCAAAAGCAGGTCAGGCAGCACATATCGATCATGATGCGGCAGTACCTATGCACATCCCTATACAGCTACTGAGGAGACAAGCACATGCGACAAAGGGTTCAGACTTCGATGGCGAAAAACATGGTTTTTCTCCTAAACAGAAAGTCCGATAGCTGCGACCATGGTGTGGGATCTGCCACAAGTCGGCATGCGAGGATATTTGCAAGGCGTTCTTACGGCGCAGCGGCTTCAGTAAGCCGGCGTACTCGTGGGTGTATCAGGACGCTTCTTACGTTGCGATGCATTGTGAAGGCCATCGTCGGTCCTTGGGATGCCTTTAGAATCGGCGGTCTGCCTTTGTCGCATCTTCAGGATTAAACCCTCTCTGTGTGTGTGTGTATGCGCACCCTCTGTCAGTTTGCAGACGGGGCTCGTGCCAACGAAACTCAGTGTCATAATCAGAGGGAAGACGGCAGGCATGGAGCCAACTCAGAGGCGGGTCTTGCAAGCCGGGAAAGACAAGGGGCCTGAATGTAAAGACCTGAAGTGACGATACACCGCTTACTTCAAAAGCTCCGGAGGGCAGGATTAGGAGCGAGATTGTCCCGAATAGAGTGCTGCGATCGGCCAGTGGTCGTGCCCAGCCCCACATGTCGGGACTCAAGCAGGTCAACGTACTTGTGCATGGAGTGTTACTTGGGCAAACATGCTTGCAGCTGGTACCCACATTAAAGGAACTTTCCGTTTTTTCCAAGGGAGGGAATGGCGTGGGGCTACGTCACGAACTCCAGAAAAGACTGCAGACGAAGCATGAATGCAGCAGCGGATGTACTGACACATCGGACCAACGGGGCTGCGGAAGTCTGTGAGGATGTGTGTACTGTGTGCGTGGGTGGGTAGGTGGGTGGCTGGCAGGATGGGTAGAGTCCTTGTGAAGAGTGGATCGCAAGGCATGTTTTCAGTCCTCGCATCTCCCCGGTGGTTGAAGCCATCGATGCTCGAGTTACATACGATCTGCTTCTGGGCAGCACTGTAAGGTGTACTGTACTGCCCTCTAAAGGATGTTGTAGCAGGAACAGCGAAGGTCTCCATATTTCATCCGGGATCACCTGCTGCTCCTGTTGCTGCAGACGCTGACGGCCTACAACGAGCGACCCGAAGACATTTGAAGAAGACTCCCTCGAACCTTCTGTGTTAGGGGTTTTGGGGGGCAATGCTCACAAGGCAGAACACATGGAAAAGATGGTTCTCGAACAAGTTTTTGACGGCAGGACCGCACTGAGTCCGGCACACCGTAAATAAATTCTGCCTCATGCATCTTTTCTCCAAGTCTCGCCGCGGTGACTCACATGGCATTGAGTGTTGATACGTTGCCAACAGGACCACCACCTAAAGAAGTGATGCTTGGGGGTCCAAATGACCAACCGCCAGGACGGTTGGGCCACTGTTGTTTCGGACCGTTGGTACTCTGACATGTCGGGTTGAGACTGTTGCATCTTGCTTGTTTCTGCGCTGTCAAGTCTCGCAGACGGAGGCCCCGACAAGGTCCTTCAGGATTTTGATTACATGGTTACGAGCCTTGGCCATGTATGACCGTGACCATCCACAGAGAGAGCTACAGCCCTTTCAGCTGCCTCTGACATTGAAGACTTAAGGAATGGATGCTTCGAAGGGCAGCCACCGAAGCCGCTGGAACCCGGTCAGGAACCAGCCGTCGAGGAAGCAAACGACGAGGAGTTTGCGGGATGCTTGGGATGTGCTTGACACGAGTGTTGAAGCAGCAAGCTTCGGTGCAGCAGTGATTAGTTGTATAATGTTGTATACTTTTCGGGCAACCTGAAGCATGAATCAGAACACTGCACTTTCCGGAAAGGATTGCATGACGGCTACCTCAACATCAAACACATGCAGTCACTGCAGTGTGATAGAGCCGCCAATTAAGCCAGACAGAGCTTCCGGAAGTTCTTGGCCAGGTCTTTTACTGGCATTTGCAGTCTTCACGATGACGCGCGTCAATGTGGATGGCGGTACCCATTCCGTCCCAAAACATCCCAAAGTCAGATCTCCTGAAAAGCTTGACACCTCTGATGTGGAGTATGAGGTTTCGAAGCTACGCAGGGGCACGAGGGTTCCCGTGATGGGCTGCAATGTGTTGTCTGGCCGTCTGGCCAGGAGCAGGACGGCCCCGATCTGCTGACTCAGCCGCTCAGACCAGAATGTGTTTGCCACTCAACCGAAGAATCAGATCTGGAACATGTGATAACTCAAGGTTGTTTGCCGTCCTCTTCGATCAAAGGGACTGGTGCCACCGCGAATGGTCTCTTGACGAAGAGGTGTGCGTGGTCATTCAGCAGGCCTGCTCGGCTCAGAGACGTTTGCGGAACATAGCCTCCTTGCGCTTTCTTGCGCCAGCCAGAAGCATGTTCGCATGAAGAGACATGGCATTCCCCTTCCCAGATTATGGATTTGGGCCTCTGCGATGCCGAACAGCGCGAGCAAGCTAAAATTTTGCTGCAACGAATCGGGCGACGTGCTCGGAGCAAGCAGTGTCGACGCAGAGATTTCACTCTGCTCTGCGCGGACTCCGAGGCCTGAGGAAGTGTCGGCGCTAGCTGACTCCAACTTGCCGCGTCCTTGGTGGCCCGACCATGGCTCCAAGCCCGCCGCTAAGACGAGCCCGTTCAGCGCGTTTCCCTGCGACGCGCTTCCGTCCGTCTGGAGGCAGGACAAAGCCGACGCTTTCGAAGAAGAGTACACCGCACCACAAGAGGAATTGGAGAATGTCGATGCAGAGGCTCCGCAGAGGTTTCCCAAAGCCCATGTGTGCTCACTGCTTCTGTGAAGGCGAGGGGGAGCGACAAGTCCGACTTCCTGCAGAACTCAGGGCAGGCTGGATCTGGAGTTGGCTCCATGGTGAAAACTTTCTCTAATCCGTTTCGTGCTCTCATGGTCTCCATCCAGACTTGGTCCACATTCTCGCAGCAAGCCAAGGATTGGCAGGCAACAAGCAAGATGAAGCTTGGTTGCGACAGATTTGTTCTGATTCTGTATGTCTGATACCAGGTGTGTGTCCAGCTCAGGAGTTCGAAGAGCTTTGGCAGGTCACCGCAACGCGTGTTGGCCGTCATCTGAAGATTTCAGAGCAGGACCTCTTGAAGAGAATGAAGAGTCCACAGACTGTCTAGGATGTTGAGCGGGGGGACCTCCTGAAGAGAATGAATCCACAGAGGGGGACATGTTTGTTCGGCTGATTGCACAGGACCGAGAGATGCACTCTCGCCATGCACAGCCCTTCAAAGCATTGGCCGCTGGTCCGAAGGAAACTTGCTTGGATTTGGTTGTTATCCGAGATACTTGAATAGGCGGTAACAAAAAAGGGTAGACGCAAATCGAGCCGGGAGGTGCGGGAATGGTGAAGCTGCAAAGCTGCGACAGTCTTGCGGCACCAAGCTGTTCTCGGTCAATCACTATGTCGAAGGTGTCACAACGTGAGCCTCCGTGCCCGCACAACATGACACCTGCTTGCCTCCTCCCGCCTCTCGTGGGTGGGCGAGGCAGGAACACGCACAGACTAGCACGTATGCGATAGCAAAATGAAGTGCTTTTGGTCCAAGTTTGGGGTATGGGAATGCGCTTGGGGGTTCAAGAGAACATGAGAGAAGGCCTGTACAGGTGTAGCTGTGATGACATAATACATTGGTGTGAAATGCTGTGAAATTATGAACAAGGTCAGGTTTTTACCAAGTCGAGAGGTGCCGGAATATGCCTCCGGTCCCGACACCCGAAAAATGAGACAGCACCAAAGGGTCCAAGAACCACCAAGATCAGCCTCGTTTGGCGTGCATCTCGGTGAAGGGGTCGAGAGGATATTGGAGGATGCCTAAATCGTCGGGATAGAAAGTGGGCATGGGCTCAGTCATGTCACGGTGCTGCAGAAAAGGCCCGCTCCACCCGACGGAATGCTTCCCTGGTGGACATGTTCTGCTCGATAGTGTCCTCACGTTACTTCTCCCGCTACATAAACGGTCGGGGACAATATTTAGAGTTGCAAGTGCTGAGTAACTACTTACCGGAACCCCGACCCTCCAAGCCTCCAAGCACCCGTGGTATTCTGGTCATGGGTTTCGTGAAGGGACTTAGGAACACTGTTGATTACTGGTGCGAGTTTTCGGAGACCAGCTACTGGGTAGTCGTTTTGCATTCGTCACCAACGACCACCAACGGCAAGACAAACAGCAATCTGCTTCATGTACAGGCAAGAACTTGAAGGTCCTGCGCAGTAACTGCCGATAACCGGTGCTTCACTTAGGTGGGAACCGATCAAGCCAAGTCCAGCGAGACGGACCCGGTCCTGCCTCGAGGCCTGGGCCCCAAAAGATGCGTTGGGGGGTGGCCCCATCAGGCCTTGACGGCCTCGTCAGGATTACGAATGCCCATGCACACCAAACACGTGAGAGAAGAGGAGGACCTCAAGGTGATTGACTCAGGATTGGAGAGTGTTGCAGCTTGACTTTCACGCGAGCACACTCCCTGGAATGCTGCTAAGGACTTTATGTACGAGCTAGTCGAACTAGACGATAGCAAGCTCGCTGCCAACCTGCGAGTTGACGTGAATCTCTGGCGACGCCAGCAGCTTGTGCGACTTGGCTGAGCTGGCTGCCAGAGTCTCCGGAACACGGGCGAAAGTGGCTTGATCGAAGTCCGGTGATCAGTTCAAGCATACTCGCATCATGCCACATCCCAACATACAGCGCTCCATGTGAACTACAGTACTGGACAGGGCAACCGACGCCTGAGGCATTCCAGTTTCGAACTAGTCGGCACAGATGAGCGAACATGGAATGTGCAGCAAGATTTGCGGGACAAGATGAGCTCGTTGGGGATGAAGCTCTTCTTTGAAGAGAACGTGCCCCGTCACCGAGCTGAGTCGCAACTTTGACAAGTGTATGCGGATGCGTGCGTGTGCTGTGTGTCTGTGTGTGTGTGTGTACGTGTGAGTGATTGCTTGCCAGCCTCTGTCCCGAAAGGTGCTCATGGAGTTGATGATGGAGGTACATGTGACCATCGAAGCTAGGGACGTCAGGGCGGCGCTGCTGCGTACATCCGGTGATCCTTCAAAGCCCCAAGGGCCTCAAGGGGGCGACAAGGAAATCGACAGGGACATCACTATGAATCAGGTCTTCTTTGAAGTAGAGGTTAACAACTCTGATGTGGTCTTCCTGGAGAACTTCTCGTGCCGCATGCAGCATTGCTGCATTTTTTGAAAGGTGAGGGCAGAGTTTAACGTCAACGAGGTACACTCTCGGACGAAAGAAGCTTGTTCTGCAACTCCTGGGAGCCAACACCGTCCCGGTCTCAAGGTATCTGAAGGTTGTGGCTTCTTCAGAGGATGTGAACTGGATAAGACCGTGACTCGCCCTAGGTGACTATGCGGTCCCGATGCCTGCTGAACACGCCCGGCATAACCATCACTGTGGCGAATCCTCGACTCACAGCCTTGACGAGCCCGACAAGCTTTGATGCGGAAGTGATACAAAAGGCGTTCACACGCACACACACAAAGCCGTAGGAGAACCAAGATGTAGGACACTGCGTCCGCAGAATCTGCAGGTAGTGAATGTGGGGAAGCAACAGCATGCCGTTTCCAACGAGCCTGGAGTCGAGCTGCAGGTGGAAGTCTCAGGAGACAGAAGCCCAAGAGCTCAAGCTTCGAGAGAGCCTTGCAAGGACGAACAAGCGCTGGAGTCCCTCACCGACAAGAAGGGCCTAGCCCGTAAAGTCATCCATCACCTGATGCCACGTTACAGGCTGGTGTGGTCAGCCGTGCAGTCGTCTCGGCTCGCACGTCCACAGAGATCCCTGCAGCATCCCACGAGGAACATTCTGGTCGACATCATCGAAGAGCAGTGTTTTGGGCTGAGCGGCGGAACATCAGGGCTCGACCGCGTCAGGCGCGGCAGAGAATCCTGATTAGGTTGGACCTTCTATCCACCCAACACTCGAAGATTCGCTTTCAAGGCTCTCACGGATTTTGGAGGCTGAGTGTCTTGGCTGCATGGTCCGACGATTGTCTGTGGTTGCACGCATGTTTTCAGTGGATGAGCATTGGTAGCCATGTCCTTGAGACTTTCGTTTCGTTTATGGTCCGACGCACAAAAATGGTATGGAATATATAGAGTATGTTGCCTTGTTTGATGAGTCGCAGAGCTTTGGAGCTACCTGTACGAGATGTTCAGGCATCAAGATGTTGTCGCAATGGTAAACAGGGCATGCAGCCCCCTGACTGCATTGCTCGTCAAGCACGGTGTGTTCCGGTGGCCTTCCGAATCCTGTCTGCATTGTCAACCAGCATTCTGTGCGCGCTTCCCAGTTTTGCAGGCTATGTAATGCTCGAACAGCTTTTGACCAAGCTGGATATTGAACGTGGGGACTGGGAGCTGCAGGAGCGACTAGACATCGGCTCAGAGCGGCTTGCGTTCTGTCAGAAGCGTCTGCCGCCCCGCGACAGGTTCAAACGACCTTCCCAAATCTTATGCCTGCCTCTTGCTGGCACCAGAACACAACATTTTGACTTGGACTTGCATTGGAAAATGCTGCCCGCAAGAGGTGTTTGAAACCCTTAGCGAGTACGCTTTCGACGAGATAAACGACTCCGAGGCAGCGGCATCCTGGCTCTTCTGACAGAGCTTGCATTGACAAGAAGCAAACCTAAACTCACGCTCCGTGACAGGTGCCGCTGGTCCTTTGTCGTGAACCTGAGGAGGAGCTGTCACGTTCTGGAAGCTGTTTCTTGTGACATCTAGCTTTGGCATTCTCACTCACTTCGCAGGAGCGAATGGAGACTTTGCGCTCATGGATCCTGCGTATTTGTCATGTCATTCGGACTGTGGCATTCACCAACCAATCTCGCCTGAGTTTCGCGCGGCTTGGAGCACTTGTATTTGACCTAGCTGTTGATTTGTTCAGTGTCGGATCACTGCACAAGGAATGATGGTGGACAGACCAGTGCGGGCGAGATGGAGGAGGATGTGCAGCATTTCGCCGTCTTGCAACTTGTACCCAGGATCCTGCGGTGTGATGCATGGCAAGGAGAACATCTTCGAAAAGCTCTTCGATGACACAGGGGAGATGCTGCTGGCGCGGGCATGTCTCTTGCAAGCACGCAGCTCTTGTCACGAGGCTCCTGTCAGGCACCTTATAAGGAAGACAGAATAATGGGACGTTACGGCAGACGGTTCGCACATGTCCGAAAAACGGAGAAGGAAGACGCAGGCCCAGTCTTCTTCTGCCAAGGAGCCCGGGCCAATGGAATGGGTTTGCAAGTCGCTCTGCTCAGAGGCAAACTGCCCGGCAAAGAGCCGGACCCGACGACACGACGACAAACGGTTTTGTTTGCCGTAATCAGAGACGACTTGGGGCCACACCTTCCTGATCTATGGCTTGCTTCTGCGGCCTTGGAGCCCGGCCCTGCTTGATCCATGGGGCATATGGCCACGGCAATGGCCGTAGCATCCTGAAGATCCTGAAGTGGGCCCGGCTTGGCTTGAACATCTTTTGGGAGTCTACGGCTCAGGCCACGCTAACAAGCAGAAGCAGCGAGTCGGCAAACAGCATCGTCGCGGCATAGCGCCGAGGGATTTCGATGTCCAATATCCGCAGAAACGTAAGAGGCGATTCTGGCTCAAAGCACTTTCAATCTGGAGCAAATGGGCAGGAGAGATCCGACGCCGCGACCCGTATCACCATCCGCCTGCAGGAAGACATCTGCACCATATGGAGAAAGAGAAGAAATAGGGGGGGGCAGGAGGGCGAGGAGGAGAAGGAGGAGGGTTGGGGCCCTGGGCGCCAAACCACCCATGTGATTCCTTGAGCCAGCATCTTGGCGAGAACATGTCTTGCTTGAAGGCACTGCGCCAGCTTTTAGTCTTCCGGGCAGGTCGGAGCCCGAGTGTCTTTCGCAAAGAAGTCCACCTGAAACAAACGGTGGTGTTGCTGTGCGCGACTCTCGGAACGGATCCTTTTGAAGTAGTGATTGCTCTTCACTTCAAGCTGGTTCGATATTTCTGTCACTGCCGCGCCACATTCAGCACGTTTAGAACACGGCCGACCAAATAGTCGTCTTGGATCCGTTAAGTTACATCATCCCACATCCGAGGCTGGATTAGTACACGCTGCAGTGCTGGCTTCACCATGTCCTTTGGGTTTGGAAATTGCGCCCCCCATCTTCACACCGAGACGAGTGGCTACGCAAAGAGCGAAAGGAGAGCAACAAACGGTGCGAGAAATGCGCACGTTGAAACCGCAAACCGCACAGTGACACCAACGGCAACGTGCAAATGAGGCAAGCAGGGTTGTTGCATCCTTGCTGGGTCGTCGATGTCAGATGGATGGACGACATGTTCTCCGAGGCACAAGCCAAGCCAATGATTCCCCAGCTTGATTGCATGAGAATGAGGGGGGCTTGTCCAGATGGCATAGGGCATAGGGAAGGTCACAGACCCAAGGCTTGAAGCCTTCCACTCGCCCCACACGAGCATTCAAGTTGAGCAGTGGCACTTCTTATCTTCTCATCTGAGGCTGCGCTTCCTTGCTCAACATACTACAGGCCAAATGCACTCGAGCTCGACAGAGCCGTGGCAAGCAAGAGTTCTCAGCCTTCGCAGGAAATCTTCACACGTCAAGACGACATCGAGGCGGAATAGCAGACCGTGTACTACTCTGTGAAGAGATGATGTTGTTCCTTTGCGTGATTTCGTGAGATGCAGGAAATCTGGGAGAGGTGGACACCAGCCCAGCAGACAAGTCATCAGTTTCTGAAGTCGCTGCTTGCCTTTCCGAAGTGATCACTCCTTGACATGCGGTTGACGAAAGTAACGGATTGACAGCCAAGGTTTGTTGTGGAGAAGGCAATGTTCTTCTGTCCCTTCAGCGTTGCAACCGACATGAAGAAAAAGGCTTGGTTCCAGTGTGCCTAAACTTAAACGCGTGAGCCACCTCCTTGACCTGGCAGGTTCGTCTGAGGCTGACACGCTTCTTCGAGGATGCACAGGTTGAGCCTACAGACCCGCTGCGGTTGGTTCCAGAGGCTTTGCTGAATGCTCAAAGTTCATGAGATTGGCTTGTGCAAAGCGTTGAAACCAAGGAGATGCTTTACCATCCTGATGTTTGGCTGCGCCTTGAAGCTCTCAAATTGGGTTGCAAACTTCTGGAGGATGCTGATCTGAACCTCCAAGCGGCTTTCTGCAAGTGCCTTGGCGCGGGATCGCTTGCATGAGTTCCTGAAGCTGTGGTGTCCGTTTTAGACCAGCCCTGGTCCTGCCTTTGCGCTTTAGGTTTGATTCGCCACAGCTAAACCTTCAGAAGGCAAGGTTGCGTGACGCCTTCAAATCTTCTAAAGCGATATGAGTTGCTGGAGGCACTTGCCTACCAGTTCAGCAGCTTCCATCATCACGAGCAGCATGGGGACGACGAGACCAGGGTCATGGACGTCATGCTCAGGACCTGGCCCTTGGCATGAAGTTTCGAAAAACATGTGCGGTCATGCAGGAAGATCCAGAATTTATGCGAAGGTCACAATTCCAAGCTCCAGGCTGGCTTTAAAGCTCTAGATTTAGCTCTTCGAACATGTCTGCCGTAGATACCATGTGATTCTGATTACTACGTTCCACGACGCCACCCAGAAGTGCACCTGCCCGAGGCTTTCGTCGGTGAAGATCTGTCGATTGAGGACAAGGACTTTGCAACGCTTTTGGCGGAATATCTTCAGAGGACATGCTTGCATGCACATTGCTGCCCTCAGAGGTTCCGGAGCCTGTAGAGCGGACCGCTGAATCCTGTCAAGGAACGAAGACGACGATGATGACGATCAAGATCGCAGCATGGAAGGGCCGACCAATCTTGTTGAGTGGATTTGCACGCTCGCTCGGCAAACCATTGAAGCCCGTCTGCACCCAGAACTGCCTGCAACCCTTCCATTATTTTCCGTGCAGTGAGCGTGAATGCTTCGCTATCGCCTTGCGTGAAGTCTTGAGCTGCAGGAGCAAATGAAGTCCGACCAACAATGGCAGGTGTCAATGAGCGGATCAGAGACAAAGTATTCCATGCTCAAGCAGCTGTTTGATACAGCTGCTGAAATTGTGCAAGGCCAGCTGCACCTGCAAGAGCCTCTCATGCAAGCACGGCTCTCACGGCTCTGACAGGTCCTGACCGTGGAAATCAAAAGTTGCTGCTGGAAAGTGCGGCTCGGAAAAATGAGCCCGAGCCAGGCACCATCCCGGCCCTGCGCCCGATCCCAGGAAATCCTGTTGGACGTGAATCAGCTCTGGATCCGCCAACGCCAGGGCCTGGGCGTGAAAGCGTCTTTCTTCGACTCCTTCACGCGTGCGATCGCTTGGAGCGTTGCTATCGCTCCAAGGCACAGATGAGTTTACCTTCCGCGCACTGCTCCAAGACAACGAGGATTTGTTCGAGTCCTTTATGAAGCTGCTGCGTTCCATGCGTAACTGTGACTATGCTTACAATGGCATATTCAGCTTAGCTTTTCTTTGAGGCGTGGTTCCTGTAGTGATCATAAATCTTAGACTCCAAGCAGCTGCAACCGTAGACCACGAGAACTTCGCAGGAGAGTGTCATTTATGTTATATTTCCTCAAGTACGCTTCACTTGCACAGGCAACACGAATCAGATTGCATGACAGCTGTAGACCGTCTCTCGGCACCCTTTGCGAGGTGAAATCTCCGTCTTGAAGTTTCTTATGTCTCTGCTCGAAGAAGAAGAGCTTGATCCCGAAGATCCCAACTACAGGCGCCGACTGAAAGTGTCCGGTACAACTCAACCGCATCCGGCATGTCCGTGACATGCCTAACTGATGTTACCTCAGGCAGACTTCCGAGGAAGTCGTGGAACACAAGGGATCCACAATTCGACGCATGGTGGAGGAACTGAGCCCCAAGATTATTTGCGACAAGGCCGTGGTGGCATGGACAGAATGCAGTGGCATCGTGGGTTCTTCTGTGTATGGCAAAATCGTCCACGGGCAGGTCATCACTCACTGGAACCTCTCGCCGGAGGTTCACGACCCTGCCAACATGATCAAGCCAGTTCAGGATGCTGACGAAGTGGTGGAGAATGACACAGCTGCAACTAGCCAGCATTTGACTTTGAATCCAAAAACTGATGCGATGATGAGCTCCAGCGCGACGTGCGTAGTAGTGGGCTCACACGAGGAGGCGGTCATCCGAACAAAGGGTGAGAAGGAGTCCACAGACTACACTCTTGCGGAACAGGAGGACGCAACTGCATCCAAATGAAACTTCGCGGGCTTAGGGCCAGCATGTTCCCTTGTCTTTCGTCCACCAGGAGCACTGCCTGGAGATTTGCTTCCTTTGCTGGGCGCTCTTCGAAGGAATCCAGCAGGCTCCAGAGTTTGGCAACAGGAGCTTCTTTGCAGGACCGCTGAAGATCTTACTCGCCAGTGGGTTTGTGATAGCACTGTCGAGCTATGACAGAACCAGCTAAGCATCTAGGTCATGCTCTAGCAAGACTTTGAAGCAGTCGAGAGGAACTTTGGACCACAAGATGAAGAATCCTGTTCTCCACACCCGCAACCAGTGCTCTGGCTCGACGACGGAGATCCACGTCCACAGCTTCTGCCGACTTCAACACACGCGGTATGCAGCTACTGTATGCCTATGGTATACTGTCTGTGTTTATTCAAACACATACAATACAACACCGTGTCATGTGTGTGAGCAGCCGCTAAGCCGTAGCCATAAGCAGTTTAGTCTTCCATCGCTGTCACTCAACAGTTCCTGCTCCTACTACTTGCTCACGTACTTGCTCCCATTACTGCGGCCGCTGCACTG